TTAGACACGGTTGGTCAGGTACACTGTGAGAGATCATTAGTTCCTTGGGTTGTTCCGTGTCGTTAGAACGACATATGTCACACTTAGAAACATAGTCCTTCACCGCTGCATTCATTCCAGGGCCCCGTTCCTCAAAGCGATCGTAGCGCTAAGGTGATCGTAACTCCCATTCTTTAACATAGACTTACGACTGTCGTAGCGCTACGATCGCTTTGAGGAACGGGGCCCCGGCCAGTAGATGCTCTCTCGGGCTCTGCAGAGACAGCCTTCTGTCCCGATGTGTGACATGTGAACTTTGGAGAGCATATCCTTTCGAGGACTTTTGGGGATGACTGCTATGTATCCTCTAAAGATCAGTCCATCATGGACAGTAAGCTCATCCCGGGGCATGAAAGTATGGTTTGGCGGCTTCCGGTACATTGGAGATTTGATCTGGCCATCCTTGCCAGATGATGTCATTCAACGTTTGAAGATCTTCATCCTCCACGGCGTGTTCCTTAATTTCTCGCAGTCTCTCTGGAGCAACTGCAACATAGTCTACCATGTTGGTGGATTCCTTCTTTTCTTTCGGTGAACAGCCTGCAATGGGAGCTCGGCTTAGCGTATCAGCAAGAAGCATTTCTTTTCCCGGTTTATACTTGAGGCATAGTTCATACTTTTGCAAACGCAGTAACCTGCGTTGCAGGCGCTTCGGTGCCTTGTGTAACGGTTTAACCATTATGACTTCCAGTGGCTTGTGGTCGGATTGGACACTCACAGATCGGCCGTACGTGTACTGGTGGAACTTTTCCATGCCAAAGACAACTGCTAAGAGTTCCTTTTCTATTTGGGCATATCTGGTTTCAGCATCTTAAGCGCTCTGCCAGCGCAGGCGATGGGTTGACCATTCTGCAGGAGTGCAGCACCCAGTCCTTTCATTGACGCATCACACTGGAGGGTGAAGAACTTCAGTACAGGGTGATTGCTTACCAACTGTTTCACACTCTCTACTGCTTTGTCATGTATGTCTTCCCAGCACCATTCTACATTATTGAGGGTCAGTTTCCTAAGCGGCTCACACACATCGCTTAAGTTTGGGAGGAACTTGCTCAAATAGTTCACGAACCCGACAAAGCGTTGAACGTCGGCTACATCTGTAGGATTATGCATGTCCAACTCAGCTTTTGTTTTCGCAAGATCCGGTCTGAGACCTTCCGAGGTTAAGAGATGACCCACAAATGAGACTTTCGGAGATTTGAATGTCACCTTGTCCGGATTTATCCTGAGATTACGTTCTCTGCACCACTCCATTAGTGCTCTGAAGTTTGAGTCATGGTCGGCCACTGCATCATCCATTGTTTCACCTTCCCCATAAATTAGGATGTCATATGCAACGCCCTGAACTCCTCAGAGACCCTCAATGACTTGATCCTGACGGCGTTGGAATTCTTCTGATGCGGATGAGATTCCGAATGGCATATGCAGCCACCGAAACCTACCAAATGGAGTATTGAACGTTGTGAGGTAGGAACTTTCGTAGTCCAAGGCCACATGCCAGAAACCATTCTTAGCGTCCACGACACTAAATACCTTAGCATTTCCCAGGTCGGGAATGATGTTATCAATGGTAGGCAAGGGGTAGTGGCTCCTCAATATAGCACTGTTGAAGTCCTTCAGGTCAATACATACCCTAAGTTTGTTGGGTTTCTCTACTGTAACGAGACTGGAGACCCATGGAGTCGGTTCACTGACCGGTACGATGACTTGACATTCAACAAGTCTATCTAACGCAGTCTTGAGTTTCAGTTTCAAGGCAAGAGGCACTTTTCGAGGTGGGTGTACTACTGGTTTCACACTTTGGTCCAGGTTGATGTGGTAAGTCCCTTCTAGAAGACCAGTCCCAGAGAGTACATCCTTGAATTCTTCTCTAACAGCATTGAGAGTAATGGAGGGAGGAGGTTGACTAGTGACCTTTAGAACGTGATCATTGTTCACCGAGATGAGGTTCATAAGTTGAGCTGCTCTACAACTAATAAAGGGGGTTGCTTTGTCGTCTTTCACTACAACAAAGGTCACTTTGTACTTTGGGGTTGACAAGTTTGGTCACACATTTCCCTACAGTTTTCACTAAAGTCTTTTCATACATCCTTAGCCTGTGCTTGCTGTCCTTGATGTCTACTGTTGCAGGCAGGATAGCATGTGGTATGAGGTTGCAAGATGCCCCAGTGTCAATCTGAAATCTAACAGGATTCCCACAAATGTTCAAGCTGGTGAACAACCGATTGACACATTGGGAATCGTCTTTGACAAGACAAACATCGTCGGAATCATCTAAAGACAGGGAGTTTAGCGACGAGGTCTTCTTCACTGTCGTCCTCTGAGTCTGAATCTTCAACAGCATGAACTTTAGGGTGCTTGTTAGGCTTATTTTGGGCAGGACACATAGACGCTCTGCTTTTACAGTGTAGACACTTGTGCCTATTTCTTTCATGCTCCATACCACAGAATTTGCAGCTAATCATGTACATACTTTAGCTCCCACGCTGCGAGTGTGAGGGACCCGAATCACATCGGCGAGTTGATGTCTTTGATTTCACACGACGTGTAGAATGAATGGAATGAACGGTTTGTGCCTCGTCGATTGTCCTCAAATTTTCTTTAGAAAATTCAGTTGCCCGACAGAGCTGTACACATTTATCCAGTGTAAGGCTAGTTTTCCGTAAGAGACGTTCTCTTAACTGTTTGTCATAGACTCCACATACTATGCGATCTCGCACTAAAGAGTCTGTCCAAAGTTCCAAAATTGCATGTAGATGCCAAAATTTTGAGATCCGTTATGTACTGATCGTAACTTTCTGTGATTTCTTGACTTCTGGTAAAGAATTTATATCTCTCTACCTTTTCAGACTTCTTAGGATTACAATACAGATCGAAAGAATTGAAAACATTTGTCAAGTTCAATTCTTCATCAGTAAAAGTCATTGTTTCAAACACTTCCCTGCCTTGTGGAGCGATACGGTACTTGAAATACTTCACCTTCGTGTCGTTGGACTTGTCTTCTGTGGTAAGGTCCAGATACAGTTCAGTTATTCCATCGATGTGACAGATTAGAAGAGTGAAAGTTTAAATACTCAGGTGGTTTCAGGTTTACAGGTCCTCTAGACATGAACATAGGTGGGGAGACATGTTGATGTTGTTGATCAGCGGCGAGGCGTGACGAATATCGATCATCGGTCGAGCGGGACGGAGCCGCCACTTTCCAACTTTCAACGTTACTTTCAGGAGTTCAAAAGTTCGAAAAAACACTTACAGGCGGTAGTTCCTCACTGGAATACGTGGGGAAAGCACTTTACCACAACTGTAACACTTCTGACACCATGTTTAAAGTGCATTGTTTACTTTAGTAAACTAACGCTACAAAGAACGACCCAGGCGTTGTGGGTTACAGCGTTCTTTACTCCATGTGCTTTTACAATGGCGGGTACACACCAACTGACGACGTGATCATGTGACGTAATGCGCAGTGCTCATATAATAGTTGTAAGAGGAGAAGTACGGTTCCAACGCACAACAGCGTACCTGTGTATTAACGTTAAGCAAACAAGTGTAGATAAAATGTCAATAATCCTGTCCACAACATTTTATTCTGAAACTGTTTTTAAGCATAAGGTGTTTTGAGATGACCCCTGTATTTGGCGGTCACAGGGCTGACAGGTGGCGAACGTCAGACACTGACATGCAACAGAGCACGTACTGTTTAAATGTGTGAAAAGTTTGGATTATTAAACGGATTATCATTAAAGTAAGTTAAGAGAAAAGACGAAACACAATTGCAGTGTACGTGTAGTTTCTGTACGGACAGATTGGAACATCTCCTCAGTGAAGATGTACGCAAAACCTAATTTCAGCAGAATGCAAACTGTAAAGTGCCGCTGTACATAGCTGAGGCGAGATAGCGCATAACAGGGGGGCCGTATAAGCGTGAAGTGTGTGTATGTGTGTAAGCTCGCGCGTGTGTACGTATGTGTGCCAATGAGGGAAATCAGGTGTACCCCTCGATCCCCAACCGCCGCTTTCCTCCCATCTCCCCCCCAACCGCGCTTTCCTCCCATCTCTCCCCCATACCCCCCCAATACTCCCCAACACACACACACACACACGTCTCTAGCTCTGTCTCAATGGTAGGGGTGAATGTTGGTTGGCGCCGCAGTCAGCTATCGTCCAGCTGAAGATAAAGGTCGGTGATGTCAGCATTATCTTGGGGACAACATGCGTGCATATGTGGACGTGTCATTCTGCAGAGTAATGTGCTCTCAAAAATACCAATTAAATTGTAAATGATGTTGTGGTTTTCATCTGGCAATCATAACGAAAGTATCACCCAAATTCAACCTTTCTTTATTTACCAGCCCCCCCCCCCCCCAAACAAAAAAAAAAAAAAAAAAGAAGAAAAAACCATACAACGTTAACGACAACAATAATTAACACACGCGAGGATGTACATCTCTGCTTCTCTGCTCGCAGTATCAATCACTGGATTACCTGGTCCAGTCTCAGTCACTCACAGCCCACCTACAGCTTGACTACAGCGGCGTGGGGCCTTATATAACAACACCCTCTTTATCACCAAATTATAGGTCGTTTTTTAAACAACTTGTCATCCAAGGTCATCTGGTCAATGTCGGGAGTCAACCGAATAGGAAACTCATGGAATTTGGGATCACCGAAAAAAACCATTCTGAATCCGTATGGCTTTTTCCTATCTCACTATCAAAATGCAAACACTTTATACTGAATTTGCAATTGATTTATTGTTAACCAGCCCGTGCACTTTCAATGACATTGACCGGTGTGTCTTCCACTTCACTGTGGTGACACGGATTAATTTCCATATGCATTAATATGGGCCAACCTGGGTAACACACGCTCGACATACTTTTCCAAGGACATACACTATGGTCTACTGAGTGTCTAAAGGGAGGTAACTGCTGTAGAATGTGACAATACGCCACCGTCCTTCACCCAAACACGTAACACACGCATGACGCGGCGCTACATATGGGACGGTACAGTGAGAGAACTTGACAGGTTAGACGTGAGAGAGGGAAGGAAACATACCCAGGGGATACCGTAGGATACCGAAAACATGGCGGCATATGAATCTTCTTCCTCGGATAGTGAGTTTCATGGAGAAAATGCTGAAGATTTGTCATACGCTGACTTGGACACTTTACCGGAGTGCCTTCTTTCACGTGCACATGAACTGCGTGCACTACAGCTTGACCACAACAATATCAGCGTTCTCCCTCCAACAGTGTCCATATTTAACCGGCTGATTGTGTTGGACATCAGCAATAACAACCTCTCCCATATAAGTGACGAAATCGTGAAACTAAAACAGCTGAGAACATTCACTGCCAGAAATAATAGACTTGACGAACAATCTCTACCCAAGGATTTCGGACTATTGAAGAGCCTTGAGGTTGTGAACTTTAGTGGGAATCTTTTCGAAACTCTTCCTCCACAACTAGCAGAACTGCGAAGATTAAAGTGTTTATATTTAGGAGGCAATAGGATTCAAGAACTGCCACACACCATACGGAATCTCACAAGGTGAGGTGATTTCTTTTACAGTACTGTCCAGTTAACATCCACACCGAAATCTTGTCAAAATCGGCCAGTTCACTTTTACTGTAAGGGTTAAATCTACTACCAGTTGTTTAGATATTATACTGCTGTTGAAGAACACGGTGATTATATTTACTTCATTACCACTCCGTATTGAACCAGTGGATGGTTGGCTAAAGTAATTAAAAACTAGCATTGTTTTCTGAAAAGTCAATTTGCTATCTACATGTCACTGTATGTCATGGATTTTTCTTGGAAGTCAGTGTCTCAGTTTGACTTGACAGTGTACATTAGATCCAAGGCCTGCTTGTGATACATATGTGACATATATTCTTGACATATATAGTCTTGGCATACAATCTTGACATATAGTCTTTATGTATAGTCTACCCGTGAAGGTCCGGGTTAGAATATTTCTCTTCAGTAACCCATGCTTGTCATAAGAGGCGACTAACTGGATCGGGTGGTCAGGCTCACTGACTTGGTTGGTACATGTCATCGGTTCCCAGTTGCGCAGATCTATGCTCATGCTGTTGATCGCTGGATTGTCAGGTCCAGACTCTATTATTTACAGACTGCCGCCATATAGCTGGAATGTTGCTGAGTGCGGCATCAACTTAAACTCACTCACTGATGTATGATCTTGACATACAGTTTGAGATATAGTCCTGACATACAGTCTTGACATATAATCTTGATATAGTCTTGACGTATAGTCTTGACATACAATCTTGACATTTAGCCTTGTCATAAAGGCAACCATAAAGTCTTGACATGTAGTCTTGAGATGGGTATAAGGTTAATCCCAAGGTGCAGAGCTCTATGTTCATCAAATTTATTCCAGTTGTTACAAAGTACGTAGATCTAATAGTGTGTCTCAGTTCAGCAGTTAGTTATCGCCCCTACTGCAAAGACCATATCTCTGTTTCACACATTATTACATGTAGATCAACACTTGACATTAAAAATTTGGACAGTGGGACAGAAGTATGTCCACAGGAGATATACTGTGTCCGATGGGACAGAAAACAGTGTATGTTATTCTAGAGTTTCACAACAGATGTCACATAGCTGACTCACGTACATCCCACATACACACACATACCGGTACCACTTGCTGTCTGGTTAATGTTAACAGTTTTTACATATAAGAATATATTGTCTGGAATCAGCTATGGGATTTACAAACAAATCTGACAGATTTTCAGTGATCCATTCATATTATGTTCTCTTCTATGTTTCCTTTATTGCGAAATGGAATTGGATTCATTAGCTAATGGAGACCGATGATATTCCCTGGCATGTGTGTTATATATGAGTGGAATATTTATCGTATTGTAAAGCTACTCACCAGACATCTGCCTTGCTTAGAACTGGTCTTCAGCAACCCATGCTCATGATATCAATCACTGGATTGTCTGGTCCAGACTCAATTAGTTACAGACTGTGTAATAATTATATATATATATAATATAGATGGAACATTGCTGTTATACAAACTACACAACTGACAAGCTAGGGTATATAACCATTGTAAAATAGTGTTATACAGTGCACTTGTTATTTGTAACACAAACATGTGACCCATAGGTTGTTTTCTACATGTTGAGAATCTACAATATATGAACTTAGTTTGAAGTTAGTGAAAGAATGTTAGCATTTAATCCTCTAACATAGGTACAGATAAGCTGCGTATCTGCGTAGATTACGAAAAATATTTTTGTGAAAACTCAATTCCTATTAAGTCTATTGCATACAAGTACACTTGAATTTTTGTAAGTGCTCAATAAATGTGATCTTACATGCGCACAAACAAAATGTCAAATCTTAGCTTGCGTACCTGTGTATAGATAAAATAACTGAGGTATACTGAGAGGTTCTATTTCAGGACATGAACTTGACAACTTGCAGTCTTTCTTATTGTTTCTCATATTACAGATCAAATATAAATAACAAACACTAACATTTAATCTTTATTATATTTTTAAAATTAATGGAACATGGCAAAATACCCAAATTAGTTTGAGTGAGGTGAGTACAAATTATTTGGTTACTCAAAGGAAAATTAGTATATCCAATTGAGATGAACACAAGTGAGTACATAACTCAGTGACCCAAAAAGTTATCTATAGCTCTGTCTAATAATTTTCCAAAGGTTTCTTGTTTGCCCTAGTTCTGGACTTATCTTGGTTGTGTGTGTCAAGGGATTGTCTCCTGATAAACCTCTTATCTCCAATCAGGACCAGATTTTGAAAATGTTAAAAACATATTGTATTTAGTGCTAAACTATGATTTTACTATACTCAAGCCTTTAAAATTCACTCTTGTCCTCTAGCCCAAAAGTATCATATTGTACTATTACTATGTGTGCTTAGGCAAAGTCCTGTGTTTAATCTCATTGATTAGTAGTGGGGGGCAGTGGGATAGCCTAGGTGTCACATGGGTACCATGTGTGAAGCCCATTTCTGGTGGCCCCTGCTGTGATATTGCTGGAACATTGCTACAAGCAGCATAAAACCAATCTCACTCACTCACTCATTGACTTGTTGTCCAAGGGCTAACAATCTGAACCAGGTCTCATTGCTTCAACCTTGTTACAAATTGTTTCTGTAAAAGTGGCTGAAAATGTACACATAGTAAACTTTTTTGTAGCATTCAAATAAAACTCTGACAAATGGGATCGGGTGATCAGACTCACTAACTTGGTGGACACATGTTATCGTATCCCAAGTGCGTAGATCAATGCTCATGCTGTTGATCATTGGATTGTCTGGTCCAGATTATTTACAGACTGCCACCTTATAGCTGGAATATTGTTGTGAATGGAGTTACACAACAAACAAGCAAAATAAGGTTTACACACTGGACAGCAAACACTAGTGGACTAGTTTTGAAAAACAACAAAAAATATCTGAGGTTGTTAATGTAAATATATACTGTCTAAAAAAAATTAATTGTAAGATGTTAGAGTTTGAATTAGTCTCTCTCGGAGAATGTAATACATTTTAGAGTTGAGGACCATCTGGGATAGATAGTATATTTTGATCATTAAGAGAACATTCATTGATCTGACTTGACTTCATGTTGTAGGTTACAAGTTCTGTATCTGGGCGGCAACCAGTTGACAGACATCCCGGCCGAGATCGGCTACATGCACAGCCTGACAGCGCTAGTCCTCTGTGACAACCAGCTCCAGAGTTTGCCGCCGACAATGATCCATCTGCAGCGTCTGCAGTCTCTGACACTGCACAACAACCAGCTGTCGACGCTGCCGACGGAGATAGTGTCTCTGAACCTGGTGGAGCTGAGTCTGAGGAACAACCCCCTTGTAAAACGCTTCGTCCAGGATCTAGTGTACAACCCACCCACCTTGTTAGAACTGTCTGGACGGTGTGTGAAGATTGAGAAGGTGAATTACAGTAGTCATGATCTGCCTGAAAACCTCATTCGCTACCTCGACTCTGCACAGCGCGCTGTGTCAACCCGAAGTGTAAAGGTAAGCACAACAAAGTTCAGTTAGGGAGTGGGGTAGCCTAGTGGTTAAGGTGTCTGCTCGTCAAGCCAAGGACCTGGGTTTGATTCCCCACTTGGGTACAAGTGTGAAGCCCATTTCTGATATTCCAGCCGTGATACTGCTGGAATATTGCTAAAAGCGGCATAAAACTCACTCACTCACTCTAATAATCTGGTTTATATGTTGGTTAGTCCTTTAAAACTGAAAATTTGAAATACATTTTGGAAAGACTTCTTTCTCCACTAAATGCTTCCGAAGATTTTCCCAGTTACCAATACTTGGGGACTGAATGAATAGGGTGGTAAAACTAGTGACATGATGCTTCTCTTCTTACCACTTTGGTGCTCTTCTCCAACATTAAGATGTAATTCCCTTGTCATCACATTGTCATGATACTTCTCAATTATCTTGTTGTTTTTGTTGTTTATATGCTGTATATAAGGGGCGGTGGGGTAGCCTAGTGGTTAAGGCGTTGGCTCGTCACGCCGAAGACCCGGGTTCGAATCCCCACATGGGTACAATGTGTGAAGCCCATTTCTGGTGTTCCCCCGCCGTGATGTAGCTGGAATATTGCTAAAAGCGGCATAAAAGTACACTCAGTCAGTCAGTATGCAGTATATATTTAACCCTGTTTTCTACATGATTTATACCTGTTTGACAACGATACAAGAATCTGTTTCGAAATGTCACATCAATGAAAAAAGAAGTTGTTCATCCATAAAGTTTGACCTCATCAGATTTTCCAACTTTTAAAAATGCCACTCAAAGAAGTTAACATCAATGTGTTTGTGTGATGGCTAGTGGATCAACTGTGTGGTGTTGTTGTGTTGACATGTTGTGTTTTCTGTCCCCAGGTGTGTACTTCACCTCACGAGTAGAGCACATCAAGTTCGTGGACTTCTGCGGCAAGTACCGCCTACCTCTGCTCCAGTACCTATGTTCACCGTCCTGCACCACTCTCAAACCCACAGTGTGCGGCGCCAGCAGTGACAGCGACTCCGACGTCGACGATGCCAGACACAGGATGAGACGTGTCCTGCTGGGATGATAGGCCTCAGCAGGTGCTTGTGACATTCAGTATAATGACATGGTGCTGGTATCACAAGTAGCGAAACTGTTTCTTGAGTTGCCTTGACGTCATTCTGCATGCAGAAAGCTACATATACTGCTTTTGACTAGAGACCTTAACCTTTGTCAATCTCAGTGCTGTGACCTTGACTGTAGGTGAATCTCAGTCAAGAATTCTTCTGTGACCTTGGCTGCTTTGTGACCTGAGAGAAGTGATGTGCGTTTGACTGTCAATTCAACTTTAATATCAAGAGTTGTGCTGTCACCTTGAATATAAACCGACCTTGGTCAAGCGATGTGAAGCGACCTTGGCAATGAACTGAACTTAGTCAAGCATTATGAAGTGACAATGACTATAAGCTGAACTTGGTCAAGTGTGCTGTCACTTTGACAGTAAGCTGCACTTGGGCAAGCTTTGTGATGTTATGTTAACTTTACGGCTTTGAAATCAATTATTTGAAAACAATTTGCTTGACCACCTCTTGCACAGGTCATTCTGTATTTGGTTGTGACGTTCCAGAGGTCAGTACACGTGTGCCATACACCAACCTCAATACCTCCATTTCTGCAGCTTACTTACGACTTGCATGGCATAGATGTGGCGTCGTAGTCCCGCTCCAAATGGTGAAACACGTCCAAGGGATACATCAAGGCCAGCATTTCTGTCTCACAGTTTCTTTGCTGATTACTTAATTTTGAAGTCATTGGTCGTTTTCCTGTTTGACAAAAATAGAACTATGTCCACCAGTCGCTCCATACACCCTTTCTTTGTGTTGTTTTTCACAATTTTCCACCCATCACCTTCATTGTAATGACTGTCAGAAACTTTGAGACACAAACCTAAAATTGATATTCTAGAGTCTGTGTATGGCCTGTAGACATTGTGAAGGGCATTTGTTTTGGTAGACCTTGGCAGGAAAAGCAGGTGACAACATGTGCCGTGTACGTGACCATTCCTGCAAGCATGCTTTGACCTTTCCCTTGACCGACAATATACCTGTGAAATGTGATGGTTGCAGTGCTAATATTTTGAAGTTGGACCTGTGATATACAATATACCAACAATATTATACCTAGTTCGCAGTGCTAATGCTTTGAAGAGTGGTTTGTGCATCTGGTCATGGTGGGCGTGTACTTTTTTTATAGATCAGCGTGTTTTCAAGGATGCACAAAGATTCTAATACCTTGTACACAGTTTCTAATCATGATACTGTAATTTGGAGTAAAATTGTGTGAATATTTCTTTGATATTCTGAATGTTCAAAAGTCAATGTTTATTCAGGTTTTTTTGACAGTGTTACAAATTAAAGATTTAATGGGTATTTTGATTCAAATACATCGATGAAAGCCTCAAAACCCCATGGATGCTCTTAATTTAGAACACTGGAAAAAATATGGACTGCATCTGAAAAGAGGGCATCATTTATGTGATTAGTATCTTTGTGCATCCCCAGGGGTTTCAGACTTACTGTTTTCTAATAATACATGATCGGGGCATTAATGTCATTACTCAGGGCCACAACCCAGTATTTGTACAGAGATCAGCTGTGATTTATGATTTGATGCAGTATGTTACTTGTGTCTCAGTTTGTCATGACAGATAAACACTGGTGGATTTAGCTTCACAGGGAAAGCCTGTGTGAAGCCTATTAGTACATGTAGTTTCATCATCACTGGAATATTGCTACAAGTGGTGTAAGATTCACTCGCTTGTCAGCTGATTCTCTGAGGTATCAGGGGCGGTGGGGTAGCCTTGTGGTTAAATAGTTCGCTTGTCACACTGAAGAGTTGATTCCCTACATGGAATATTGTAAAGTGGCAAAAAGTGTGTGAAGCCCATTTCTGGTGTCTCCTTTGTAATCATATTTGAATCCATATTGTCTTTTTGTGAAGGAAAGTTTTGAAATTGTTGTAAGACCAAATGAATAAAATGTGGTTCCAATTGCTTAAAAGTAGGTAGGTCGGAATTGTTTTGTTTTTTAGAAGTAAACTCAAACTCACTCACTCAGACTCTGAGGCATTATCATTACAGTAGATGATGTATCATCAGGGACAGTCTTTGTAATCATATTTAGGAATCCATTGTATTTACAGTGTTTTTAGTGAGGCTACAAATATTTATTTTTGAAATTGTAAGACCAAATGAAGCTAGAAAATGTGGTTCCATGTTTACACCTCTTCAAAAATACATGTATATAACTTAAAAAATTTATTTTGCTCTGCACACCACGCCTTGCAGGTAGGTCGGAGATTGTTTGGTTTTTAGAAGTAAAGTTACAAACTAGTAAACACATTTATCGACCTTCTCTATCAGAATGACAGATATCTGTTTGCTATATCCGCTTGTACGCTATATCCGTGTTCACTATATCCGTGTTCTACTGTATCTGAAAGCTTATTTTATTCATTCCTCTTTAAACAAATAGGGTTGGCACCAGAATTCAAGGGTTGGTTAGGTAATCGGAACCACAACATTCTTTTTATAGCTGTAATGGATGGGACAGTGTTGTTTTGAATTCATGAGAGCATTTTGACCTTCTTGCTACGTTTAGCAAATGACATGGTAAACCTGTAAAGGTCAGACACATCCCAGGTCATAGTGAACTCTATCAAGAGATAAATGACTAATTGTTTTTATTTATCTTGAGAAAGACATACTGTTTTTCCTTGATTTAGAATTATACAATTGTTACCAAGATCAAAAAAGAAGATTTAAGGTTTTAGTTTTAAATCTGGATTGGAGCAGACAGTATTGACATTAATAACATACATGTTCTGGTTTACAATAATGTTCTGTCTTGCATGTTTCCAGATGATGTTGCTATGGTTACTTAAACATTGTTATTGCATTATACTTATGGGCATGTGAATATATTTTTAAGAAACACAGCCCTGTGCCTGCTGTGCATGTAAACCATATGTTTTGTATACACCAGTATTTGTAACGATTATTTGTGCCATATTATTATGAGATATTCGTAACTATGGATTCTGATGATGACGAATGTTGAGCAATAAAAAAGACACTATGCATTTTTAGCCCAAGATTAAACAGTATATGTTTCATGACAATAATCTTGTATTGTGTTTCCTTAACACATAAAGGTCAGTAGATTATATATATCAGAATTGATCTGGAGGATTGGTTACCATGGTGATGAAATCATGACTTGGTCAGTTTACTGAAAATTCAATGATTGCTGTACTATATATATGGAACAATGGCAAACGTTTATGTTTAATCTTTTTGTAGTGTAATTTCCTAATTAAACTGGAAATTTTGTATGGGTATTTAACTTTACAATATTGAAATCTAAGAGCTAGGATCTAGGATGAAATGTAGTTCCTGTTGTAACATGTCTCTGATATTTGTATTAATGTTTCGGAAACAAATCCAACTGAAATCCAGAGTGGCATTTGTAGAGCCTGACATAGTCACGTGGTCCACTGAAGGTGTGCCGGAAATGGCTGCTGTTGCTTTCGACTCGTTCTGAGTGCCGAGTGCAGGATAAAAGTTCATAATTTCTTCCTAGGCAAGATATTAATTTTAAGACAGTGGTTATTCGTTATTCACAAGCCAGGTCTTGCATGATGACTTCACACATTTGGGAGGCAAGCAGTCAGAGAAATGTCAAGGTTAGTTTTACTTTCCATGTGTTCTCAGTCTCATTTTGCTAAATGGGATACTAACTTGACACAGGATTCTTAGGTACGTTTGATGAACAAATTGTAGCTTTTGAGAACCCAATTCTCAAAATTCTCATGTTGAGATGCAGTCAAACAGTATAGGGGGTATATTTTTAGTGAACACAGATCACTGTGGTCATTGTACCGAAGACTTGCCACTGTAGCTAAATGAACCAAAGAAATGTTTGTACATGTTGAGGGGTGCTGTGTTGTATCAACCATGTCCAAGTATGGGCTGGCCTTAACCAAAGATCATATTATGACCTGTTTGAATGTTTCATTGGTATTAACATCAGTTCTCTTCGTACTGAGTAGGAAGTTTGATGGTAATGTTCTACAGCTACGGGAATGGTTAAGTGTCATGGCTGCACGTTCCAGAATTATGTTAATATATACTGGACAAAGATAGTTTGGGATATATGTAAATTTTGAAATTATGAATAAAGATTTATTCATTCTTTGACAGTGATAAAATATCAATTTTAAAAATACCAATATCCCTCACTTATTTTGTCCAGTATATAAAGTTTTGAAAACCCTTTTGGGCATTGTTTCAGAGTTGTCTCCCTTTGATTCAGGTTCAAAATGGATATGTCAGTGAACATGTTGCCTCTAGTCAAATTTAAGTGAATTTTCTAGATATTTCTGTTAATTATATTGAGCAAAGATCTGAAGTATTATCTATGATTACTTTGTTGTGAACGTGCCATCTTTATGTAAGATTAGTTAGATTAGATCTGTGTGGTGTTAGAAAAGTACATTTGTGTCTTAATCCAACTCCCAAACTATGCTTTTCTGACTTCCATGTATATATGCAATAATTACATGTACAACTCAGGGTCAGGCAAGCATGATATCCACGTTAAAAAATGTTTTTTTAATAATTATGTTACGAATGGGATTGGGTGGTCACTAGATTGGTTGTGTCATCTCATCCCAATTGTGCAGATCGATGCTCATGCTGTTAATCACTGGACTGAATGGTCCAGACTTGAAGATTTACTGACCGCTGTCATATACATGGAAAGTAGTAGAGAGTGGTGTTAAACAAATAGGGATGTCACGATACATAAGTTTCATGAATTGATACGCATCACGATACCCATGTTACGATTCGATACGTATCACGATACCTATTTTCGCGGCATTATTGCGTAAACTTAATAACATTTTGAACATTACTATTTTACATTTTATAATTGTCCATGAGAAGATCAACATTTTTGATTAAAAAGTTCTAATTTCCCATCTTTGTGCATGAAAAAGAATCATTTATAACTCTCATACCATCAAAAAACATGATACAATTGCAAAATGTAAACAATACATAAACATATTTAAATCGATACTTAGTTTTGAATGTATCAATAATTGTATTTTCTTAAGGACCGCCTCCATGGTGTAGTGGTGAGAGCGGAAGGTGGTGGGTTCGATCCTGACCGTCATACCAAAAGACGTTAAAATATGGTACTTGTTGGTCTCTGCCAGGCGCTCGCCATTAATGGGTAGAACAAGGACTGGTCGCCTCGGGAGTCAGAATAATGTGTCCGAGTGGGGTATTCATGCTTCACTGCGGCATGGTATCTCATTGGGCTAGCACTATAAAACCAGCTTCAGTCTGGGCTAGTACAAGCAGCCGCACATACACATACACACGCATGCACGTCGCCATATGAGTGAAATATTCTCAAGTACGACGTTAAACCCAATTTCACCTCACCTGTATCGACTTAAAATAAATGTATCGTGATATCCCTATAAACATCAGTTAATGGTGCTCTGTGACTTTGATATGGTGATCATGCAATAAACCGCTTGTGTGCCCAACCCTGAGAGTTTACAGAGTAGTGATTTGACAACATTTTACAGGATGTTCTGTGTTATCTTTACCAAATTCGAAGAATATAGATGGATGATAGTGACAGATAATAGCAAGTGATTTGAAATCCTGAATGTCAACTTCACACAGACCGCAGTATAAAGACGACCTGGTTTGTGGCAGGAGTGGACATGTTATTTTATTTTATTCTATCCTTAAAACTAACAAAACCTCAAATGTTTGACTTAAACATTCAAATCCATGCTGTTACAATTGTTTTTGTGTTTTGTATGAAATTCCAGTTGAATTTGTTGAGTTGTTACTTTTGTTTCTTGTTGAAGCTTTGTCAGAAAGTACTTTGAACATTAACCCAGCTTCAGAAATTAAGTATTCATGGTCAGTTGCCATGATTGTGGCTATGTTTACAGCCTAGTGGCATCTCCTCTGCTCCGAGTGTATTCAACATTTCAGGAATTGTTTGCATGAAATATTTTACAATATGATCTATGCATGGACAATCATATTTTCCATAATAAAAATTAATTTTTTCTTAATTAATGTGTTGGTTTTTATTCTTCTGATCAGGTACCTCAGGAACAACAAAGCAGTTACACACTGTGACAGGATTCACGTCAGTTTTGGGCGATGGGGTAGCCTAGTGGTTAAAACATTGGCTTGTCATGCGAAGACCGGGTTTGATTCCCCACATGGGTACAATGCGTGAAGCTCATTTCTGGTGTCCTCTGCCTTGATAAAGCTGGAATATTGCTAAAAGCGGCGTAAAACCCCAACTCGCTCACATCACTTTTTTAATGCTATCAGACACGTTTTGACTTTCAGTCTAAGTAAACTTATACTGAGTCGAACAAAACCTAGTAGAAGGTCGCGTCAGCTAACCTTACAGCGACCTATGACCGTCCAATCAAACGCGAGACGGCTGAACGGATTTAACCAATCAGACAACAACTACTTGGTAGGGTTCGGCGGGACTTACAAAACGGTTTGGGCATTTTCTCTTACCTGGTTGCTTACACTGATCTATAAACAAACGAAAATCTGCATAAAACACAGATACTTGACCTGCAGTATATACGCTTATGGGTTCTAATGACATGGTTACTATTTGCTTGTATTTTTGCAAGATGACATCCTTGAATATTGACAAAAACGCTATTTTCAGCGACTGTTTACTCATTGCGAGTATCACTTGGAAGCGATCATGTGGACATTAGCATTTGGAATTGTTCAAGTTTTTGAGTGAGTGAGTGAGTGAGTATGGTTTTACGCCGCTCTAGCAATATTCCAGCAACATCACGGCGGGGGACACCAGAAATGGGCTTCACACATTGTGCCCATGTGGGGATTCGAACCGGGAACTTCGGCGTGACGAGCAGACGCTTTAACCACCAGGCTACCTCACCACCTCGAGGTAAAGGTTCAAACGGTATGTTAACTTTAGCGATTGGTAAACTGTGTTCTGATTGGTTAGTCCAAAAGGTCAGCTGTCGCGACCTTCTACTAGGATTTGTTAGACTCAGTATAGCAGTGTAACGAACAATACTGAGCCTAAGTTTACTTAGACTGTTTTGACTTTGATCCAAACAATCCTTGTTCTACACCTTAATATCAAGTGCCAAGCAGGGTAACTGGCAGTACCAGTTGTTAGATTCTATAGGTAATATAAGTCCATATGAGAGAACACGTCATCTCTTCAAGCTGACCTTCACCCACTTGGCAGATTGACCACAATCAGGAACGTTTTTATGACAGAATTCCTCTCAGACACAACAACTACTCGAAATCAACAAGTGTTAGTTTTTCCACTTTAATACTTGGTGCCTTGCAGGGTAACAATACTGACTGAGTGAGTTTAGTTTATGCTGCAATATTCCAGCAATCACAATGCATTGTAGGAATTTAGACACATACTATACTTGAACTTTCTGTAAGAGGCGACTAACGGGATCGGGTGGTCAGTTTCGCTGACTTGGTTGTCACATGTCATCGGTTCCCAATTGCGCAGATTGATGCTCATGCTGTTGATCACTGGATTGTCTGGTCCAGACTCGATTATTTACAGACCGCCGCCATATAGCTGGAATATTGCTGAGTGCGGCGTAAAACTAAACTCACTCACTCACTCACTTGAACTTTCTCAGTCTCTACAGGTCAACTCAAAGAGTGAGCAATCTTTTTCAATTGTGTGATGTCTCAATACATTCATCCAAGAAGTGAGATGAGATGGGATAAAACATTGGGGTCAAGATTACTGCACTTAAAGCAAACTGCATGCAAGTATGTGTGTTGTACTTGTTTGGAGGTATGCTCCGAGCCAAGCAGCACTTGAATGCCGAGCACCAGACAGTATAACAAGTAGCATCATTAAATGTTTTTTGGTATATCAGGGAATAAGAAAATATAACCACTTACACAATTTGATAAACTGATTTATTTACACATAAAAATATACATTCATGACTTCAGCAACCTTTTCTTGGACCGTAGTTTGAGCACCTCCACCGGCACACAGAAGGGATTGAGAGAATAAAGTAGGGGTTTCTCCAGGGGAGGATCTCCCTTTCTAACCTTCCCCGGGGCCTCTCTTCTTTGGAGGCTCAGTGGTAGTGTCACCAGAAGGACCAGGAGTTGCCTCCCTTTGTTCAGTTGAGGTAGCTGAGAGATTCTGTTGGTCTGAGTTTGGCACTGAGGGAGTTGATTCTTTCCTTTCACTGGTGACCTGAGAAGGGAAGTTGAAGTCGTCTGGGAACACTGAAACATAAAACTAAATTTCTATCTCTGAACCATGAACGATGTCTTCGTTTGGTTGTCTTCCATCCCAGACAGACAAACTGTAATTCAAACCTTGGATACACCTAATGTTCTTCCTTCAGACCTTTCACAAAGCTCTTGTAGCGCTACGACTATCATAAGTCAATGTTACAGCATAGGAGGTATGATTGCTACGAGAAAATTTACTGGGTCTTAGGCTTATGAAAGCTTTGTGAAACGGGACCCTGGCGTAATATTGCTGGAATATTGCTAAAAGCGGCATAAAACCCAACTCACTCACTCGCTCAAATTGTTACTGATCAGGCCAGGGCCCCGTTTCACAAAGCTCTCGTAAACCTAAGGCCTAATTTTCTCTTAGGCTTACGAGAGCTTTGTGAAACAGGGCCCTGGCCTTATCAGCAACAATTGGAGTGAGTGAGTGAGTGAGTGAGTTGGGTGTTATGCCGCTTTTAGCAATATTCCAGCAATATTACGGCGAGGGACACCAGAAATGGGCTATACATCTGTAACCAGTGACACAGTAAGGAAGTGGTAGGATGCTGCCATCAGCAATATTTCACAATAACTTGTAAATAACAGAATCTTTGCTGGAAATACTAGTGTGGATATTAGGGGCACCTTGACATGAAGGAAGAGACGCAATAGGTACTTATCAAGCCTATGAACAGATCAAAGTGTAGTCCACTTTTACAACAAACGAAACAGACAGCCTGTCACCAATTATAATCTCATGTCTCCATCCATTAGAACAAGTGAGGGCACTTGTACACCACTTTCAGCAACATTGCAGTAATGAGACAGCGCGAGACACAAGAGTGTGTGAGTTTTAACACTGGGTGTCATTACTTTAAAACTAATGTCTGTGGGAAAAAAAGTCTGAGGGAGATTGTATACAACTTTCAGCAACATTCTGGGCGTAAGAAAGGTTTAATGTTGGTTGGAATGATATACTAGTAATATTCAGCATGTCAGCTAAAGGGAAACAAGCACCAATCTGTTCAGTTTATCTTGAGGAATCACAGATAAATCAATGTCAACAATTCTAAGTAGAAAAACTCCAATTTCCTGAATACGTCTTGTGAGAAGCACAAACAGAAAAATTGTGAGTGCATTCTGATGTCACGAATTAAGGGGAGATAATTCCACAGGGTGAGGGCATACCACAAAGGAACGATGACTTAGGGACCTTTTTTCTGTGTGTCTGTGGTAACCACGGGAATAAGGCAACCATAATCCAGAGGGAATGTTTACGCCTGTATTGATGATGGTCTGACAGCTGTGTGTACCTACCATTTGTGAGAGCTCTTCGAGTTCTGGCAGCAGTGTCCTGTAAGTTATTGATGTCCACTTTGCAGTTCAACATGGAGAATTTCCACTTCATCACCTTCCGCTGCAGCCTTGTGTCCGTCGTACTCAGCACGTCCGTCAGACTGTGCATCAGGTCCAGCATCACAGCAGAATCTGCACACCAGACGCATAATGTCAGGAACAATACAGTGGCCCCTCATCAACTCAGTAAGCCTGAGAGCCACCTCACTACTCGCCCCACTGCAATAGTATTGCAACAGTTGGTCACAATAGAATGTAATTTTCTGAATAAAATTGATATTTTATACTTATCCTGACTCATGCTTATTTGCTTGTCTTCTTCCTCTTGCGAACTTAGTGGAACACTTGTATCTCCTTATTGAAGCTCCCTTCAATAAAAAAACGTGCGTAAAATCACTAATGACTACTCACCAAGAGTTGTCCCCCTTCCGTGTGCGCGGGAAAACTGGCGCCACTAGTCTCCCACATGCTTCACTCTCTCCTGTATACGAGCCCGACACTTGAACTTACAGGGAAATCCAAAGTGTCATGTGGGGAGGTTGGGAGGGCTTACCTCATGAGTCAGGATAAGTATAAAATATCAATTTTATTCAGAAAATTACATATTTTTCCTTATCCTGACTCATGCTTATTTGCTTGTAGAATCTGACGGATAAGGAGGTGGGAAAAAGGCACTTAGGATTTTAATTAGTGAATTTACGCTAACATAACCCCCCCCTACGGGAACTTCATAATGGCACTGTAATTATGTTAATTTCTGCTGCTGTACGCAAAGAGTTCTTTCAGCTGCCAATTTTAAAGGGGGGACCATAATGTAAAGTTGGTCCTATTAGATAATATAAAATATGGAAAAGCGACTCCAAGTGGAGAAGCGACCCAAAATACTTGTAATTATCAGTACTGGGTTTAATATTATGCTAGTTCTGAAACGTGCATAGATACTGAAGTAAAACTCTGTATGGTGTAAGCTATATCAGTCATGTGAAACACAGCGAGTCTCACCTTCTGTGGGGAACTGTCAACTGCTGTGCGACAACCAGAGGGCCGAAATGGTGAATGCCTGAGACGTCCTCGGTGGTGATATCTCTCAGGTAGTGGTTAGCAAACACCATGTCAGATTTCCAAAAACAGCCCTCCATGATAGTATTCAACGAGCAATTCCCATGTAGAGCGAGTGTTGAAGCTAGTGCTCTGATTTCGTGAGGGTTAGAGGCTCTTGGAGGATCGAGTCCTGCAGCCTTGTAGGCTCGTAATATGACAGTTCTAATCCAGATTGATATCGTGGTACGTGAGACTTCCGTCTGTGTTGCCGTAGATATCGGGATGAAAAGTCGCTTGAATTTACGTCTCATCAATCTGGATCGTCTTAGATATATTCTTAATGCTCTCACTGGACATAATGATAGGTCAAGCGTATCGTTCGGTCCGAGTATGGAGGATAGTGCAGGAACGTGGAACTGTCTATCCGGTTGACCTGGCAACTGATTCTTGGCGATGAAATCCCAACATAGTCCCATGTGCACTATGTTTTGATTTTCATCGAATCTTGTTCTCTCGTAATCTAGCGCGTGGATTTCCGACATTCTTGCTGCTGTTGCTAGGGCTAACAGAAACAGTGTTTTCTGTGTCAAGAATTCAAACGATGTTGATTCCAGAGGTTCATAACCGTCGCTAGTGAGATGTTTGAGAATAATATTTAGGTCCCATGCTGGAGTGTGAAATCTCTGTTTCTGATCCTCCAATTTATAAGAGCGTAATAAGGCCAGTAACTCTGGCACCTTGGTTAGCTTTGCACCCGTCCTCATAGTTATCACTGAGCTCAATGCTGCTAGGTATGTTGAGAGTGTAGAGCCTTTTAGACTTTTGGTTTGTCGTAGGTGACAAAGATAGTCTGCCACTTGAGGATGAGTTGCATTTCTAGCTGTAAATCCTTTTTTAACAGCGTAGGTTTCAAAACTGTGCCACTTGTCGTCGTACAAGTTGCGTGTCAAATTGCGCAAAGCAAGCGTGACCGCTTTCGCCCCCTGGCTGAGTAACCTCTCTTGTTTAAACATGCTTTAATACAGTCCACACGTGTACTTGGAACACCTCTGGGTACTTGTGCGTTTGTTTTGTGTGAGGATGTATAAGTAGATTCGATCGCATTGGTAGCTGTAGTTTTGGTGGTCCGAGTTCTTATATGAGAATGGGAAACCTTGTTCTCGCTGGCCAATAGGCGCGACCAAAATCAGTTGGAGGCTCTCTGTCTGACTGATTTTCTGTAATACTCTCGGTAGTAGCACTGACGGAGGAAACACGTACGCATTTAGGCCTTTCCATGATATGCTGAGTGCGTCCGTTGACCACGCTTGTGGGTCTGGGACTGGAGAGACGAATGTTGTTAGCTGATTGTTGAAGCGTGTGGCAAATAGGTCTATTAACGGAGCTCCTATTTCCTTGATCAACTGAGCGAATATTTCTGGATGAAGCATCCATTCTGTCGGCTATTGGGAGATTTGGACGAGATAAAGCGTCTGCTAGGACATTCTTGGCTCCTGGAATGTGACATGCTTTTATATGGATATTCAGATCGCCACTGTCGAGTTGTCTGTGTGTACCATTAGATGCGCATTCTGTAGAATGGTGCTCTAATGTAGTATGGCGTTGATGGCTGCTTTCATTTCTAGCATGTTGATATGTATCACCAAGAGTTGTCCCCCTTCCGTGTGCGCGGGGAAAACTGGCGCCACTAGTCTCCCACATGCTTCACTCTCTCCTGTATACGAGCCCGACACTTGAACTTACAGGGAAATCCAAAGTGTCATGTGGGGAGGTTGGGAGGGCTTACCTCATGAGTCAGGATAAGTATAAAATATCAATTTTATTCAGAAAATTACATATTTTTCCTTATCCTGACTCATGCCTATTTGCTTGTAGAATCCGACGGATAAGGAGGTGGGAAAAAGGCACTTAGGATTTTAATTAGTGAATTTACGCCAACATAACCCCCCCCCTACGGGAACTTCATAATGGCACTGTAATTATGTTAATTTCTGCTGCTGTACGCAAAGAGTTCTTTCAGCTGTCAATTTTAAAGGGGGGACCATATTCAGATCGTCGATTAGGCTGAATAGTTGGAAGCAGAGATCTAGTAGGTTCAATGATCTTGTTGAGCCTTGCTTGTTTTTATAAAACGCCACTGTCGAGTTGTCTGTGTGTACCATTAGATGCGCATTCTGTAGAATGGTGCTCTAATGTAGTATGGCGTTGATGGCTGCTTTCATTTCTAGCATGTTGATATGTAGACGTTTCTCCTCCTGGCTCCATCTCCCTGATGTCACTAGGTTGTCGAGATGAGCTCCCCAACCTTGGAGTGACGCGTCTACGTATAGGTGGGTCTTGAATTCCGGCTCTGCTAAATAGATGCCTTCGCAAACATTCGACCTCCGAGTCCACCATAGTAGATGAGGTCTGAGGTAATTCGGTAGACCGAAAGGTTGTAGATCGTCGAGATGTGCATTGATGAGGATCTGTAATGGGCGTAGCTGTAGTCTGCCTCTGGCTGTCTAACCTTGTGCGGACGTGAGGAGACCCAACAGACTCTGCTACTGTCGTAGTGGCAAAGGAGAGAGTAAGGCTTGAGGGATGGTCTGTTGAATCTTGAGCCATCGGTCCTCTGGTGCGATGACACGATTCTGCGTCGTGAGAAATCTGATGCCTAGAAACTGTAGGTCCTGCGTAGGCTGTAGGTCCGACTTGAGTAGATTCACTAACCATCCTAGCTGATCAAGTAGATTGATGGTGAAATTCAGTTGTAGTTTGAGATGGGCAGGATCTTGATCTACTTGAATCCCGTCGTCGAGGTAGAATGCATTGCGTAGCCCTCGACGATGTAGATATGTGACTATGGGTTTCGTTACTCTTGTAGACAACCAGGGGGCCGATGACATTCCAAATGGCAGGACCTTCCGTCGGTAATGTAGACCGTCTAGTGTAAATCTGAGGTATTTTCTCGAGTCGGGATGAATCGGGATATGCAGGTAGGCATCCTGAAGATCTATGCTTGCCATGTAGTCCATCGGATGGACGAGACAGATTAGTTGAGGTAGATGTATCATGCGGAACTTGGGAGGTTTGCTTAGATAATCCCTGTTGAACTTGCTCATGTTGTAGATGAGACGGAACTTTTCCTTGGAATTTTTCTTTGGCACTAGGAAAACTGGGGAGTAGAAACCTGGTTCGATGTTGACTTGATCCACGATTTCTATGGCCTGCTTGGTTAGGAGAGATGAGACAACTTCTCGTCACTTCTTTATCTGCTGTACGTTGCAGTTGAACTTGTGTGGTTTGACTGTCAGCGGTGGTTCGGCCTGTAGTTGGATGCGATATCCGTGTCTTAGGATGTTGGTTATGTAAGGATCTTGAAGTATTTTCCAGTTTTTCCAGTAGCGTTGTAGACGTCCACCCACTTGTGAAGGTTGTACAGGAACGGTTGGGGGTGGAAGACTCCAGTCGTTCCGAACCCGTATTTCATCGTCGATAAATCCAGGAGCCTCTGGATGCCCTGCCTCTTCCGGATCCTCCTCTGTAGTTGCCGGATGGGCGACGAAAAGCGACGAAAAGAGTCCTTCCGGCCTCTGGAGGTAGCCACTTTCCTGTCCCGTGCCCTCTGTAATCCCGGAAACTTGGATCTTCCCAAGTACCGTTGAGTTGTCTGTTTGATGACGTTGGTCCTTCTTTTGCATGAGGAGGGCCGAGTAAATCATCCTGTCTCAGCGATGAGCGTTTCGTTGACTGTGCGAGATCTGTTGAGACCGAAGAACATTCTTCTGGTCATCGATTCTACTTGAGCCAGCTTGCGGTCTTCAATCTTGTAGGACTTGGCCTTTGTATCGTTGATAACTTTAAAGTTTTCGTCGATATCCTGAGCTTTGAGGAATGGATCCATGTTATGGGTGTAGAACTTCCTGGCGTTGAACTGTGGTAAATGTGGTACTTGAGTTTTAGTGGCTGTCTTGAAGGCTGCGTCCAAGTTCTGTGAAACCGTAGCGATGGGATCAATCAGAGGTAGAGTTAACGTGTCAACGTCGTCATCTCTCATCAGATAGGTGTGAGCTGAATTATCGTCTTTAGATGGTGATGCCAAGTCTAATCCGTTAGCCATCCAGTAGCGTATGTCAGAGTCCGGGAAAATGATGCCGCCATCGTCTTCTGTAATCGGAGTGCTGAGAAGAGGATGCTGAAACTCGGTGGTGAACGAGGTGGAGTCCTGCAAGACTGGTGATCTACGTGGAGACCTGTAGGGCGAACGCCGTGGTGACCTGCGTGGAGATCGGCGAGGAGAACTGCGTGGAGAGTGGCCCGATGAGCTGTGCCTGTAGGGTGACCTGTGGGATCGTGAAGGTGCTGGCGAGTCCCTCGATGATCTGTGAGACGAAGCTTTCTTGTATACTGTAGTAGATGTCCTTCGCGAAGGCTCGTCTGAGTCCGGACTTGGGGAGTGACGGCTGGACCTTCGGGAAGGCCTTCGCGAAGGCTGATCTGAGTCATAATCTGGGGATGAACGATTCCTCCTCCGGGAACGCTTCTGTGACCGTTGATCATCTGAGTCCGTAGTAGGTGAAGATCGTGTAGTCCTTCGCGAAGGCCTTCGCAAACGCTGATCCTCTGGATCCTCTACAGGGGTTGACTGGGTCAATCTTCGTGGAAGCTTGTCTGTTGTAGATCTGACATCCTTCGCGAAGGTCCTCGTGATGCTGATAGACGTCTCGCTGATGGCAGGTCCCTCAGATGTGTTGTCTATGTCCAAGTTCTGTGAAGGCTCGGATCCTGGGCTGTCTCTTTTCCAGGTTGAAGCGTTGCTCCATCATTTCCATGATTTGCTGGGAGAACTGCTGCATGAAGTCGCCCCGGAAGGTCTGCGGTGGTACCAGTGCTGCCCTCTCTGCGTTGGTGGTGACGGGGCCCCTGGGCCGGTCCTCTGTAGACAGCGTAGATACATCAAGCTGAGTGTGGATCTGCGCTGACGTCTCTGTAGCTGAAGTCCCTGTAGCTGAAACTGGTCGCTTCTTGTGATGAACATCTGGGATGATAATCGGTTGATCATCGTAGAGGCCCTGTTCTGCGACGGGAACGATCTCGGCTGAGAAAGTTCTGGTAGACTGTGACTTCTCCTTGGTGTTAGACGCTGCTCTAGGGGTACGAAGTCTGTGCTGGGTGGTAGACGGCTTCTTGGTCTTAGGCTGCGACGATGGGATGTCTTGAGAAGCAGGTCTCTTCTTGGAGGTGGCGGACTGCGTCCCACGCCTCTCCTCCAAGGGAAACTCCAGCGGAACACCAGACGGTAGAGGGTCGTCCGACAGCAGTTGACTGGTGAGGGACTCCGCTGCGTTCTCCATGACTGGAACAGCTTTACGTGACCTATCAGCAGAACGTCTCAAAACACCCAAAACATATTTATTAAATGCACAAGATGATAAAGGTTTGCATATACTGCATCGAGAGCTGAAAGAACATGGTACAGTGCAACTAGGGCATGTTAGGTGCGGGTCAGAAGCAGAGAAACGAAACTTACATATGGAACAGATTTTCATGAACGTAGACTACTGAACAATCACGGAATAAACCGCGAATAAACAGTGAGAAATACGAATAAATATCAAACCATATTGATGAAGGATACTAGCTAAACCTCTATAATGAATTAGTAGAGGTAACTAACTAAATAATAAAGGATATAGTGCCGTAAGGAGACACAGGCGCTCTCCCAACCTGCTCACTGGGTGAAGAAGGAGAGAGTGAAGCATGTGGGAGACTAGTGGCGCCAGTTTTCCCGCGCACACGGAAGGGGGACAACTCTTGGTGAGTAGTCATTAGTGATTTTACGCACGTTTTTTATTGAAGGGAGCTTCAATAAAGCGATACAAGTGTTCCACTAAGTTCGCAAGAGGAAGAAGACAAGCAAATAAGCATGAGTCAGGATAAAGAAAAAATATAGCTATCGCAATAGTATATTGCAAGAGACTATCGCTAGCGAAATAGTTGTTTCCCCCTCAATAGAGCACTATCAAATTATACTTGTCCACATGTGAAGGTTACATGATATACATAATATAGCACCACTCTCAGAATGTGCATCGCAGTTGGTGGCCTTCTGTGTAATAGCTTGTATTGGAATGGATCTACTAGCTGCCTTCCTTATCAGGAAATACTCAAACAAATTGTGTGCATATAGGAAACACAGTTCATGTAAAGTTCATCCAAAGGAGATAACTCTGGTATCACTGATTCAGCTTTCCTAACTTCTTCTTAGCCATTTCATTGGCTAATCAATGACCATGTATGGTTGTTTTCAGCGATATTGTATGGTTCAACTAAGTTGAAACATCTGTAGAAGTCTATGGACTGTTGAAACTATATTGAATCTAACCCTGCCAAACATTAGGCTAAACCAGTGCAATGGCAACTCACCTAAGGGAGATAACTTGGGTGGCTCATCTCCATTGAGCACTGCTGTAAGATACTTGTAGAGCTGTTTATAGTTGGGGGACATTGCATCTTCAGGTTGTGAAAAGCTCTCGTAATTGGACACTATTGACATGGCCTGAAAACATTTCATTGTTTGAAATTAAAGAGGGCCCTTGTCATACCCCTTGCTTTATAGCTTTAACCATTACAGTCTAACATCAAACATCAAAAGTGGGGAAATTCTCTGCTAATTCAAGAGCACTGTCAAGTTATACTTGTCCAGAGCTGAAGGTTACTTGATATGTTTAGCAGCACCAAGGTTTAAAGGCACTATTTTACACCACACTTCTCTCAAACTAAATAATGCATTTCTCTCAACAATACTATCAGCCCTCAGGGAAGCTATCATATGATTTATTCCATAAAAATTACTTATTTAGATTACAATATCAAATTAAAAAGTTCGAAAGAATTAATGCAACGTTGCATTAAATCTACATTCCCGCACCCTCTAACGGCCGAACATTATTTCAATTTTCAAGCAAACCCCATAGAGCCATGTCCCTTGGAGTCCTCTTTACGAATATCCTATAATGCAACTTGTGATGGAGGTCAGTTCCACAAACAGCGACAACACCACTTACCACAGTTTTTGTTTACATTCCATATATGCTAAGTGTTCTCTGTTTGGACGCTGTTAGCGTTGAAGTTTCAATTACCAATTTCAGGCAAGTCGTAAGGGATAATAAGTCTTCAATAGGAAGCTAAAGTGAGTGTATATGGCTCAATATACATAATATAGGCCAAAATATTGTTGAAAATGTGTGACATTGTGCCTTTAAGGCTTAAGAGAGGGGTCCTTGAACCAGTTACTATAGCTGACCTCAATGACCACAGCACCCCAGTAAATATATAATGCTATGACTGCTCATTATTCTGCTTATAAATCTCCAGATGACAGAATACCCGCCATCTATATCTATCAACATTTCTAAAATATAGTGACTATATTTTTTAGACTGGGATATATCTTGATCAACTGACAGATTGTAACAATACATATCCCAAATATTGACATGTGCAGTGTGCAGCAAAACCATCATTAAATCCAAATCTTTATCAGGGCTTCAACATCAAAATTTGAACATGAAAACATGTTCAGATCCTTCCACTATATTGGGTATAGATTCCTGGATACTCACCCTGAATGGATATTTGAAGGGAGGTAACTCTATTTTTACTGATCAATGATAGAAAAAATACAAGTTATGTTATTTAGAGATTTTTTCCACAGATTTCTAAGTATGAATATGTATTATGTTAACTTAATAAACCAACATTTAGACTGGTGAGGACAACTTGTTTTAATTACCAAATCACTTGTCAAGGTCTTTTCCAAACATGCTTAAAATTCAAGGAGTTTTTAATTCAAAGTGTCACAGGACAATCCCCAAATGCCCTGATATCAACAGTCTGAAGTACGTTCCCAGTTCAAGATAAAGTTAACATGGAGATAACCCCAAACTTACTGACCCTCGCCATGCTCCGAGAGAGATCCTCCTCCTCATAATGAACCATCTCCCGGGCAAAGTCAAGCCAGGTCTGAAACAACAATCACACATTAACCATATGCTGGTCCAGTTGTTTCTGACTGACTGACTGACTGAGTTTAGTTTTACGCCGCTTTTAGCAATATTCCAGCAATATCACGGCGGGGGACACCAGAAATGGGCTTAACACATTGTGCCCATGTGGGGAATCGAACCCAGGTCTTCGACGTGACGAGCCAACGCTTTAACCACTAGGCTACCCCACCGCCCCGCAGTTGTTTCTGAGGCGATAGGGTCCGAGGGTAAGCATATGTTGTAGCACCTGTTGCTTTTGTTGCCATTGGTTGTTTGAACCATTGCATTAATACAAGACGAGTACATGTATACTTCTTGTTTATTGTATACCACCAATAAACAATAAACAAGAAGTTGCCATCCATATACTCGTCTTATATATTCACCAACTTCTAAATGCCTCTCAAGAATCTAACCATCGTATTGTTTCTTGTGATTGTGAACTGTGTGTTTCAACCATATTTGTAGGTCTACCAAAATTCAGCACCATATTATTATCATGTCCCAATACCTTATGATGTAAATTGTGAAACTTTGTTGCAAAACACAATGCCCTGTGTCATCACAATGCTGCCGATGTCATCAAATGTGCAAAAGCTTATCTCGGTGATCTGTCATCTCTTTACACATTGAAAAATGTTTCAGCATGCTGTGGCACATTTCTAAGCACTAGTGAATTTTATGATATTTCGGTTTCAACTTCTGTGAAGACAATTTCTCAGTTAACATCTGTGTCACAATTTGGAAATCACCTCATAACATTTACTTTGTATCGGAGTGGAGGACAGTGACTCTTTGACAAGAAGCAACTATACTGAACCGCAATATTTTTTTAATTCAAACACATGTAAATAACATAATAATTATCAGAAAGATTTCAAAATTGACATGTTTGATAATCAATACTTAAAGACGAATTTCAGACAATGACAAGTGAAAATGACGACAGGTGGCGCGACAGTGCGACCCGAAAGTCAATAACGTGTATGGCCTCCTTGAGCGTTGACAACAGCGTTGCATCGTCTGTACATGGAGTGGATGTGACGGTTGATGAAGGCCATAGGAACTTGCACCCATACTCGGTGATACGCCTGGGAGAGTTCAGCTGCAGTTGTCGGCCTTGGTCGCACATCATTGAGCCTCCTCTGAATCTCATCCCACAAGTGTTCTATCAGGTTGAAATCTGGACTGAGGGCAGGCCATTGAAGAGTTTGTATGCCGTGTTGACGGAGAAAGTCTGTAGTTGCTCCGGCAGTATGGGCAAGCACGCGCGTTGTCATGCTGAAGATTTGGTTTCCATGACGACCAAAATGTGGCACGACGAAGGGTCTCAGCGCTTGATCAATGTTGCGGGCAGATGTTACACAATTTCCTCTACCAGGACCAATATTCTGGAACAACATAGGTCCTAGTTTGTGATTGAGAGCAATAGCACCCCACACCATTATGCTTGGACCTCCCCACGAGTCTCTTTCCAGGACACAATCATCTGCAAAACGCTCTCCGCGTCGTCGCCACATTCTCACTCTGCCATCAGCTGTCGAGACGCAATATCGTCTTTCGTCGGAGAAGACTACAGTTCGCCACTCCTGGTGACGCCAATTTTCGATGATGTGTGGCCCACTGGAGACGAGCACGACGATGTCAAACAGTGAGGATCGGACCCCGGTAAGGCCTGCGACATCTGACGTTTCTCTGCCTCAAACGCCTCCACACTGTGTCGGCGCTGATTGGTCTCTGGTGATTGCCAATGGTTGTCTGTGCAGTTTCCGTAGCCCTAGCGAAACGATTTTGCAGGTGATGACGGACAATCTGCCGATTTTGCCTCAAAGTTGTCATAGGCGGTCTTCCACTGCGAGGACGGTTGGCTGTGCTTCCAGTGGCTTGAACTCATTGCTATATTGTTCGAACATGAACAGAAAAATGATTTGCAACATGTCTTGCAGTCTGGCCAACATTCAGTCTTCCTAAAGCTTGGTCCCTCTGTTCCCTTGATAATCGTGGCATGTCGCTACTGGCGAACATTGAATGATTCGGTGCATGTTCGGTGGCTCTTCTTATAGGGATGACACCTCGGGATGCACATGCTTTGTCATTTTCATGAAATACGCACAAAAACCTCGTCCCATCATTACATTAGTAACTGCGTTTTGACGACATGTGTTTTGTATCAAATACAGCTTCTGAAACCAAATTTTCTTGAACATTGGCTATGAACCAGGTCTAGCTAAAATATAAATAGTGAAAAATTAATTAACATTCAGAGGAAACATATCTGGAAAAATGTTTGGTAGGGTCACGTTTCTTTTACGGTTCAGTATATAATCAAAAAGGAAAAAACTACTTACTTCAATAGGAGTCTGCAAGTCTGGCCCTGCAACAATAAAAGTGACACTTCAGTCCATGCAGTTAAACTCACTGAATAGTAGTTCAGTTATTGCCAGATCAAACTCTTGCAGGTCTTTGAAGAGACTGACTGACTGAGTTTCGATGTACGCCGCTTATAGCAATATTCCAGCCATATCATGGGACACCAGAAATGGGCTTCACACATTGCACCCATGTGGGGGGGTGAACCCGGGCTTTCGGCGGGATTGTCTGGTCCAGACGCGATTATTTACAGACTGCCGCATATAGCTGGAACATTGCTGAGTGCGGCGTGAAACTGACCTCATGATCACTCACTGTTTCAGATGCTCTAGCACTGAGTGAGTGAGTATGGTTTTACGCCGCTTTTTTAGCAATATTCCAGCAATATCACGGCAGGGGACACCAGAAATGGGCTTCACACATTAAACCCATGTGGGGAATCGAGCCCGGATCTTCGGCTTGACGAGCAAACGCTTTAACCCACTAGGCCACGCCCCCTTGCGCAGCCCCTCTTGCATAACTCTACCTTAAACAATTTCAAAACAGTTGGAGTCGTGTTGGTCTATTGTTTCAGTGCTTTACTTCCGCCAAAGTGTTGCAACAATACTCTGGAAATGTGACGGCAGTCTGTACTATACTTCGCTACTAATTTATTCATTACTATAATACTAATACTGAACACTGCCAGTGATGGAGGTCACCAGTTAAAATTACCATGCAGGGCCTATATTTTCAAAGCTCTCTTAGAGCTAAGATAGTCGTAAGTTATTGTTAATGTATGGCCCTTAAGACTATCTTAGCACTAAGAGAGCTTCGAAAATATAGGCCTATAACAAGTACTGTCTGCTGCTTGGGGATGGAGTTGCCGGCTCTCAGCGAGGACCCTCTACCCACTACCCTGGGAGTCAGTGCCTGCTTTTTGTATGTACGGATGGTGTAACTATTAAGGCAGGGCTCGATTTAGTGCTTTATTACTTGCACTGGTGCAAACCAATCTTGCAAAGTGCAGCTTAGTTGTTAGTCTAACTTGCACCAGGGGCAAGTCAATTTTTGAGAAATAACTCAACAATAAATCTAACATTGTAAGCATAATTATCTTCCACATAGCTATGGCACCAAAACATTGCTATTTATAGACACCTCTCGGCTATGACAGCGATCGGTAGTGTTGTGTTGCTGTGGTTTCATGGGTACTACATCATGGAAATATGTTAATGTGCGCTGGTTTTGACATATACTAAGGTGAGCAAAATCACTAACATACCCACATATTTGAAAGCAGTGGGTATCAGAAAATGAAATACCAACTCAACATGCATAATACCCACTCCCCAAAAATACAGTGGGTACAGTACCCACATGAGCTAAATCGTATCTGGAGCTCTGACTGGGTCATAAAAAGTACCACATTTGTACCACAACATAATTTGGTATGGCAGCCTGGAGACAGAACCACGGACTGCTCACCGGGAGGACGCTGTATCAGCTGCACCATGGTGGCGGTGTCTGATTGAGTTCCTGGCTTCCCTACAGTGAACGGATGGAGACCTGAGACTGACCATGCCAACAGTCAGATGATTGGGATACCTACCTTGTTGGACGACCGAGTTCCGCAACCGTAGCACCTCAGCTGCAACCTGGAACAATTGAGACTAATAATGACACACTGACATACCCGAATTAAAACAGTGCTTAATGTGCGCCTTGCCACGGTAAATATTGAAATTTGCACATATAAATATTTTCAATGTGAGCTGGTGGCATGACACAAATTATGAAAATACTTCTCACCATGATTCATTTAAATTTGATACTCCAATGATTCAAAACCTATTTTTGCTCCCCATCACACTGTTTATCTGTGGCACTCTCAATCTCAGGACTAAACCTGGGCGTGGCCATTTCGAATGCCAGTCTGCATAACAGGAAGTCCCGTTTGGGATGACAATGTAGTTAGTGTGTTCTTGCAGGCATGGTGTTCAGGAAGTCCCGTTTGGGATGTCAACATAGTTAGTATGTTCTTGCAGGCATGGTGTTCAGGAAGTCCCGTTTGGGATGTCAACATAGTTAGTATGTTCTTGCAGGCAAGGTGTTCAGGAAGTCCCGTTTGGGATGTCAACATAGTTAGTATGTTCTTGCAGGCAAGGTGTTCAGGAAGTCCAGTTTGGGAAGTCAACATAGTTAGTATGTTCTTGCAGGGAAGGTGTTCAGGAAGTCCCGTTTGGGATGACAACGTAGTTAGTGTGTTCTTGCAGGCATGGTGTTCAGGAAGTCCCGTTTGGGAAGTCAACATAGTTAGTATGTTCTTGCAGGGAAGGTGTTCAGGAAATCCTGGTCGGGATGTCAACATAGTTAGTATGTTCTTGCAGGGATGGTGTTCGGGAAGTCCCGTTTGGGATGTCAACATAGTTAGTATGTTCTTGCAGGGAAGGTGTTCAGGAAGTCCCGTTTGGGAAGTCAACATAGTTAGTATGTTCTTGCAGGCATGGTGTTCAGGAAATCGTGTTTGGGATGTCAACATAGTTAGTATGTTCTTGCAGGCATGGTGTTCAGGAAGTCCCGTTTGGGATGTCAACATAGTTAGTATGTTCTTGCAGGCATGGTGTTCAGGAAGTCCCGTTTGGGATGTCAACATAGTTAGTGTGTTCTTGCAGGGAAGGTGTTCAGGAAGTCCGTTTGGGATGTCAACATAGTTAGTATGTTCTTGCAGGGAAGGTGTTCAGGAAGTCCCGTTTGGGAAGTCAACATAGTTAGTATGTTCTTGCAGGCATGGTGTTCAGGAAATCGTGTTTGGGATGTCAACATAGTTAGTATGTTCTTGCAGGCATGGTGTTCAGGAAGTCCCGTTTGGGATGTCAACATAGTTAGTATGTTCTTGCAGGCATGGTGTTCAGGAAGTCCCGTTTGGGATGTCAACATAGTTAGTGTGTTCTTGCAGGGAAGGTGTTCAGGAAGTCCCGTTTGGGATGACAACATAGTTAGTGTGTTCTTGCAGGCATGGTGTTCAGGAAGTCCCGTTTGGGATGACAATGTAGTTAGTGTGTTCTTGCAGGCATGGTGTTCAGGAAGTCCCGTTTGGGATGTCAACATAGTTAGTATGTTCTTGCAGGGAAGGTGTTCAGGAAGTCCCGTTTGGGATGACAACATAGTTAGTGTGTTCTTGCAGGCATGGTGTTCAGGAAGTCCCGTTTGGGATGTCAACATAGTTAGTATGTTCTTGCAGGGAAGGTGTTCAGGAAGTCCAGTTTGAGATGACAATGTAGTTAGTATGTTCTTGCAGGCATGGTGTTCAGGAAGTCCCGTTTGGGATGTCAACATAGTTAGTATGTTCTTGCAGGCATGGTGTTCAGGAAGTCCCGTTTGGGATGTCAACATAGTTAGTATGTTCTTGCAGGGAAGGTGTTCAGGAAGTCCCGTTTGGGATGTCAACATAGTTAGTATGTTCTTGCAGGAAGGTGTTCAGGAAGTCCCGTTTGGGATGTCAACATAGTTAGTATGTTCTTGCAGGGAAGGTGTTCAGGAAGTCCCGTTTGGGATGTCAACATAGTTAGTATGTTCTTGCAGGGAAGGTGTTCAGGAAATCCTGTTTGGGATGTCAACATAGTTAGTATGTTCTTGCAGGCATGGTGTTCAGGAAGTCCTGTTTGGGATGTCAACATAGTTAGTATGTTCTTGCAGGGAAGGTGTTCAGGAAGTCCCATTTGGGATGTCAACATAGTTAGTATGTTCTTGCAGGCATGCTGTTCAGGAAGTCCCGTTTGGGAAGTCAACATAGTTAGTATGTTCTTGCAGGGATAGTGTTCAGGAAATCCTGTTTGGGATGTCAACATAGTTAGTATGTTCTTGCAGGGAAGGTGTTCAGGAAGTCCTGTTTGGGATGACAATGTAGTTAGTGAGTTCTTGCAGGCAAGGTGTTCAGGAAATCCACTAAAGTTTACAGGTGTACATGTTTACTGATTTTATTAAACAATACATTGAAGTAACACAATTGTTGGGATGTTTTAGTTTTAATTGGATCATCAGGAGGTATGGGCACACATATTTTCACAAAAGCCCACATAAATTATCTGTCTGGTGTTCAATGGCACCCTTTACAAAATGCATTTCTGTCCGACTATCTTCATGTTTGTGTGCGTAACTCACTTCGAAAGTAATTTTATTCTACTGAAGCTATGTGTGTCATGTAACAGTAATCATAATGTATCACTGTAATGCAATGTATTGATAGTTTTGTCAATCATTATATCGTTAATTTTCACACATGACTCTTGTATACTAAAGGGAAAAAATAAGGGATCACATTAAAGTACAAGTGTTCCTTTATTTTGTTCCAGGTTTCTTAACAAAATGTGCAATACAAAGCTTGTGAAGAAACCTTTGAAAACAATATAGGAACACTTGTGCTTGCATGTGATCACATATTTTTTCCCTCAGTATATGTACTATCAGTTTGCTCACCTCCTGATGGGTTCGACTCGGGACCATGTTGTAGACTTTCTCCAGACTTTCTTCACAGGGGCTAAACAACATCCATGAAATTGGTTCAGTGAATTGAAAGTGACTAGATGGCATTTGATGAGCTAATCAAGCAATGTTTTGGGGCATTTGTGTTCCACAAGTTTTCAGGCAATGATAAAGTTCCTACCCTCCAACAAATTTTGGAATGACAAATCATCTGATTGCTACAGCAATAAAAGTCTGAAATGGTGAGACCTACCGGGAAATAAGTAACTGTGGTGCACTGTTCAATCATTACAGCTTCACTGCCTCACTCCTACGTGCCTGCATCCCCACACACCACCCTTGAGGTCCATGCTCTAAGTGCATGTATGTCACATTTCACACTTGTCAACCATGCTCTAACTGCCTGTATCTCCCAACCAATCCTTATGTACCTGTATCTCACACCCCACCCTTGCCTACCATGCTCTAACTGCCTGTATCTCACACCCCACCCTTGCCTACCATGCTCTAACTGCCTGTATCTCACACCCCACCCTTGTCCACCATGCTCTGAATGCCTGTATCTGACACCCAACTCTTGTCCACCATGCTCTAACTGCCTGTATCTGACACCTCACCGTTGCCTACCATGCTCTAACTGCCTGTATGTCACACTCAACCCTTGCCTACCATGCTCTAACTGCTTGTATCTGACACCTCACCGTTGCCTACCATGCTCTAACTGCCTGTATGTCACACTCAACCCTTGCCTACCATGCTCTAACTGCCTGTATGTCACACCCCACCCTTGCCCGCCATGCTCTAACTGCCTGTATGTCACACCTCACCCTTGCCTACCATGCTCTAACTGCCTGTATCTAACACCCCCCCCTTGCCTACCATGCTCTAACTGCCTGTATCTAACACCTCACCCTTGCCTACCATGCTCTAACTGCCTGTATGTCACACCCAGCCCTTGCCTACCATGCTCTAACTGCCTGTATCTCACACCCAACCCTTGCCCACCATGCTCTAAATGCCTGTATCTCACACCCAACCCTTGCCTACCATGCTCTGAATGCCTGTATCTCACACCCAACCCTTGCCTACCATGCTCTAACTGCCTGTATCTAACACCTCACCCTTGCCTACCATGCTCTAACTGCCTGTATCTAACACCTCACCCTTGCCTACCATGCTTTAACTGCCTGTATGTCACACCCAGCCCTTGCCTACCGTGCTCTAACTGCCTGTATCTCACACCCAACCCTTGCCCACCATGCTCTAACTGGCTGTATCTCACACCCAACCCTTGCCTACCATGCTCAGAATGCCTGTATCTCACACCCAACCCTTGCCTACCATGCTCTAACTGCCTGTATCTCACACCCAACCCTTGCCTACCATGCTCTAACTGCCTGTATCTCACACCCAACCCTTGCCTACAATGCTCGGAATGCCTGTGTCTCACACCCAACCCTTGCCTACCATGTTCTGAGTGCGGAGATCAGCTGTCTCTTCTCAGTTGTAGTCCACTTGGATTTGATAGTGTACATCGGCCTTGGTGATGCCAGTCGTGGCCCCACCACCTCGATAACAGAGAGGCTCTCACTGGGAACAGGAGCATCCTGCTTCCTCTTCCTTCCTCTCTTCTTTGGGAATGGAGTTGAAGTTAGTTTGGGCTGGGCAAAGGAGTCAGACATCTCAATATCTGGAACAGAGTGAGTGAGTTGAGTTGAGTGACTTTAGTTTTATGCCGCTTAGAGCAATATTCCAGCCATACCATGGCAGGGGACACCAGAAATGGGCTTCACACATTGTACCCATGTGGGACAGCTAGTTAAGAGTGAGGACATTGAGTAATGTGGGTGAAGAGTGAGGAGGACTGAGGAATGATCATAAAGAGATTATAGGGACGATAACAGTTAACTTATGATGGAGACCAGGTGACAATGGCAACAGTGATTGGGGACTGTTCCAGTAACATTCAAACCATACTTGGTGGGAAGTACCAGAAGGTAACATGACAAATCCTTAATGTATACACACAAACAATCTTGACATTTACAACATGTCACAGTCAAGTCTTGGGCTTGAGCAAGTTAATATTTAACAAGCTTGGGCAAGTATTTTGACTATTGTACCTACTTTTCTTTGCAGGTATGATTTACTGTATGAATGTTGGCAGCAAAAATAAATGCACTCCAGTTTACTGGTGGGGTAGTGTATAGTGGTGTTAACGATTCATCGATCCATGGGCCGCTGATACAGTGAATCGATACAAAGTAAGTAAGTTTAGTTTTAAGCCGCTTTTAGCAATATACCAGCAATATCACGGCAAGAGACACCATAAATGGGCTTCACACATTGTACCCATGTGGGGACTCGAACCCGAGTCTTCGCGTTATAATGGTGGTGGGGTAGTGTAGTGGTTAAAGAGTCCGCTCGTCTCGCCCCGGGTTCGATTCCCCACATGGGTACAATGTGTGAAGCCCATTTATGGTGTCCCTTGTCGTGATATTGCTGGAATATTGCTAAAAGCGGCGTAAAACTAAAATCACTCACTCTAAAGGCTTATTGAACATCCACAGAAAACAAGAAACGCCAGGTTTGTGAACAAAAACTCAGTACTTCAAAACATTATCTAGATCCCTGAATGGGTCAGTCAGTCAGTAAGCAAATTAAGGCACTACACATTGAATACCAAGTGAAAAAATATATATACCAAATTTGATTTGTGAATACATTTCGCAGCAGGGATCGATTCCACTATATCGAGGCTGCACCAGTGCAGGTAAATTATAACTAGTACAGGTACCTTTCATTGTCAGACAGCACCAGTGCAGGTAAATTATTACTAGTGTAATTAAGTTTAATTGTCCGGCTGCACCAGTACAGGTGACATTTCCCATCAAAGTGCATGGCATCTGTTTTATCGCTGTAAACTTCCAGCATTACTCAATTCTTCTCCTGTTGTGTGTATCAGGTGAATCAATTACTAATAAAATGAATGTAAACAAGTCAGTTTCAATCACAAAAATTGGCACCACTTTAGATTCTGTTTGATATACCTGCCAATTCTTGTTGAAAACTATTGCAACACGTTATATTTGGGATTACACTTTCTCAGTAAAGTAAGGATTCTAGTACTTTTGTTGGGTTGAGTCCCATCTGGGATTCGAACCCACACCCTCAGAGTCAGGCACCTAATCGTCAGCACACAAAGTCAGCCACTGCAGCTTCCACAAAAATTGAAGTTGGATCACTGGTAGTTTACACCACGGTAGTTTGTACCTCTCTGATAAGTATAAATTAGCAAGGTGTAAATATTGAATGTTTTTCAGTTATGCTCTGGAAATGAAATGATTATGTACAGACAGACAGATTGACAGATGGATGGACAGACAGATGAGGCACTTTATCCCCTGTATTATGTGCCCGAGGGATAAACACGTAAACAAGTCAGTTTCATGCTGTCAGTTTCACCACGAACTGTAAACGACCCGTGAAGATCCGGGGTAGAATAGGTCTTCAGCAACCCATGCTTGCCACAAAAGGTGACTATGCTTGTCGTAAGAGGCGACTAATGGGATCAGGTAGTCAGGCTCGCTGACTTGGATGACACGTGTCATCGGTTCCCAACTGTGCAGATTGATGCTCATGCTGTTGATCACTGGATTGTCTGATCCAGACTCGATTATTTACAGCCACCATACTGGAATATTGCTGAGTGTGGCGTAAAACTAAACTCACTCACTCAGGGTAAATTCATCAAATCCAGTGGGCACAAACTCAAAACATGCTTCCTTAAGTGAATCATTCTTTTATACGAAGTCTTGGAGATAATAAAAAACTACAAAAACTATTTGATTAAATATTGAGCATGTTTTTTCAACACTGCAATATCACATGATTCATCAGCTTGAGTGATAGATGATGTGTGTTGTCAACGCTTTTTTTCAGGGAGGGAAAATGACAAATACTTTTATACAAATATGATTAATCAGTTTATATTTATGGGGGACAAATTTATGGGACATTTCAGTACCCTGTGTGCCAATGCCCCAAGACCGTGCGCTAGTTTCACCATCACAGCCAACTCATCAAACTAATATCTACTGCCAGTGTTTGCTCTTAACCCTGAAAAGCTGCAGGCCCTGAGGACCATGATAAAAAGTTGTGGGTCCGGATCAGAATGTGTAGGCCCTATATTTTAACATGGAAGTAATACTCTTAGCTATTGGGGATGACTGACTGACTGAGTTTGGTTTTACACCGCTTTTAGCAATATTCCAGCAACATCACGGCGGGGGACACCAGAAATGAACTTCACACACTGTGCCCATGTGGGGATTCGAACCAGTGGTTTTCAGTCAGCGCTTTAACCGGGGCTACCCACCACCCTATTGGGGATGAAAAGCTGTCGGTCATAAGGACCTGCAGAAAACAAAAGCTGTGGGTCCGAGTGGTTTTCAGTCGGCTTCGGGCCTAAGGACCGTTATTAATGTGCTCACTGCACATGTACATTCATTCAAGATTAAAAACTTCATATATCACACTGTGCCTGAAAAAGATTGACTGAAAAACGGTAACTGTTTACTCAGCAAGAGTAGTGGTGGTGGATTTAGGAGACAAACCTGAGCTGTGTGTTCTGACCTGAGTCTCAAGCCTTTACGTGGGAGTATGTCTGAGGAGGTACATTCGTTATATCACAAAAGAGTGTGTGTACATGGCTGCTTGTACTAGTCCATATCAACTAGACGGAGGTAATAAAATCATCAGACCGAGGATGCATCCAGGGGTATAGTGGAAGTGATAGCGATATACCCTGGAGATTATCGAGATGCAGTAACCCATGCTTGTTGTAAGAGGCGACTAACAGAATCAGGTGGTCAGTCCGCTGATCTGGTTGACACATGTCATCACATCCCAATTCGTGTGAGATCGATACTCCTACCTCCAGGTAGACACCATATCAACTAGACCAAGGAGGTGGTCTCCAGGTAGACACCATATCAACTAGACCAAGGAGGTGGTCTCCAGGTAGACACCATATCAACTAGACCAAGGAGGTGGTCTCCAGGTAGACACCATATCAACTAGACCAAGGAGGCGGTCTCCAGGTAGACACCATATCAAGCTAGACCAAGGAGGTGGTCTCCACGTAGACACCAAATCAACTAGACCAAGGAGGTGGTCTGGAGGCGGTCTCCAGGTAGACACCATATCAGCTAGACCAAGGAGGCGGTCTCCAACGTAGATACCATATCAACTAGACCAAGGAGGCGGTCTCCACGTAGACACCATATCAACTAGACCAAGGAGGCGGTCTCCAGGTAGACACCATATCAACTAGACCAAGGAGGCGGTCTCCAGGTAGACACCATATCAACTAGACCAAGGAGGTGGCCTACATGTAGACACCATATCAACTAGACCAAGGAGGCGGTCTCCAGGTAGACACCATATCAACTAGACCAAGGAGGTGGTCTCCAGGTAGACACCATATCAACTAGACCAAGGAGGCGGTCTACAGGTAGACACCATATCAACTTTACCAAGGAGGCAGTCTACACGTAGACACCATATCAACTAGACCAAGGAGGGTCTCCAGGTAGACACCATATCAACTAGACCAAGGAGGCGGTCTACAGGTAGACACCATATCAACTAGACCAAGGAGGTGGTCTCCAGGTAGACACCATATCAACTAGACCAAGGAGGCGGTCTACAGGTAGACACCATATCAACTAGACCAAGGAGGCGGTCTCCAGGTAGACACCATATCAACTAGACCAAGGAGGAGACACCAGGTAGACACCATATCACTAGACCAAGGAGGCGGTCTCCAGGTAGACACCATATCAACTAGATAAAGGAGGTGGTCTCCAGGTAGACACCATATCAACTAGACCAAGGAGGCGGTCTCCACGTAGACACCTTATCAACTAGACCAAGGAGGCGGTCTCCAGGTAGACACCATATCAACTAGACCAAGGAGGCGGTCTCCAGGGCAGACACCATATCAACTAGACCAAGGTGGCGGTCTCCAGGTAGACACCATATCTACAAGACCAAGGAGGCGGTCTCCAGGTAGACACCATATCAACTAGACCAGGTCTCCAGGTAGACACCATATCAACTAGACCAAGGAGGCGGTCTACAGGTAGACACCATATCAACTAGACCAAGGAGGCGGTCTCCATGTAGACACCATATCAACTAGACCAAGGAGGCGGTCTACAGGTAAACACCATGTACATGTCATATCAACTAGACCAAGGAGGTGGTCTACAGGTAAACACCATGTACATGTCATATCAACTAGACCAAGGAGGCGGTCTCCAGGTACATGTCATATCAACTAGACCAAGGAGGCGGTCTCCAGGTAGACACCATATCAACTAGACCAAGGAGGCGGTCTACAGCGTAGACACCATATCAACTAGACCAAGGATGCGGTCTACACGTAAACACCATGTACATGTCATATCAACTAGACCAAGGAGGCGGTCTCCAGGTAGACACCATATCAACTAGACCAAGATGGCGGTCTCCAGGTAGACACCATATCAACTAGACCAAGGAGGCGGTCTCCAGGTAGACACCATATCAACTAGACCAAGGAGGCGGTCTCCAGGTAGACACCATATCAACTAGACCAAGGAGGCGGTCTCCAGGTAGACACCATATCAACTAGACCAAGGAGGTGGTCTCCAGGTAGACACCATATCAACTAGACCAAGGAGGCGGTCTACAGGTAGACACCATATCAACTAGACCAAGGAGGCGGTCTACACGTAGACACCATATCAACTAGACCAAGGAGGCGGTCTACAGGTAGACACCATATCAACTAGACCAAGGAGGCAGTCTCCAGGTAGACACCATATCAACTAGACCAAAGGTGACGGTCTCCAGGTAGACACCATATCAACTAGACCAAGGTGGCGGTCTCCAGGTAGACACCATATCAACTAGACCAAGGAGGCGGTCTCCAGGTAGACACCATATCAACTAGACCAAGGAGGCGGTCTAAGGTAGACACCATATCAACTAGACCAAGGAGGCGGTCTACAGGTAGACACCATATCAACTAGACCAAGGAGGCGGTCTACACGTAAACACCATGTACATGTCATATCAACTAGATCAAGGAGGCGGTCTACACTTAAACACCATGTACATGTCATATCAACTAGACCAGGCGGTCTCCAGGTACATGTCATATCAACTAGACCAAGGAGGCGGTCTCCAGGTAGACACCATATCAACTAGACTAAGGAGGCGGTCTCCATGTAGACACCATATCAACTAGACCAAGGAGGCGGTCTACAGGTAAACACCATGTACATGTCATATCAACTAGACCAAGGAGGTGGTCTCCAGGTAGACACCATATCAACTAGACCAAGGAGGCGGTCTCCAGGTAGACACCATATCAACTAGACCAAGGAGGCGGTCTCCAGGTAGACACCATATCAACTAGACCAAGGAGGCGGTCTCCAGGTCATATCACCTAGACCAAGGAGGCGGTCTCCAGGTAGACACCATATCAACTAGGACTAAGGAGGTGGGTAGACACCATACTCAACTCCAGGTAGACACCATATCAACTAGACCAAGGAGGCGGTCTCCAGGTAGACACCATATCAACTAGACCAAGGAGGCGGTCTCCAGGTACATGTCATATCAACTAGACCAAGGAGGCGGTCTACACGTAGACACCATATCAACTATACCAAGGATGCGGTCTACACGTAAACACCATGTACATGTCATATCAACTAGACCAAGGAGGCAGTCTACACGTAGACACCATATCAACTTGACCAAGGTGACGGTCTCCAGGTAGACACTATATCTACTAGACCGGTCTCCAGGTAGACACAAATCAACTAGACCAAGGAGGTGGTCTACACGTAGACACCATATCAACTAGACCAAGGAGGCGGTCTCCAGGTAGACACCATATCAACTAGACCAAGGAGGCGGTCTCCAGGTAGACACCATATCAACTAGACCAAGGAGGCAGTCTCCAGGTAGACACCATATCAACTAGACCAAGGAGGTGGTCTCCAGGTAGACACCATATCAACTAGACCAAGGAGGCGGTCTCCAGGTAGACACCATATCAACTAGACCAAGGAGGCGGTCTCCAGGTAGACACCATATCAACTAGACCAAGGAGGCGGTCTACACGGGTGACACCATATCAACTAGACCAAGGAGGCGGTCTACAGGTAGACACCATATCAACTAGACCAGGAGGTGGTCTCCAGGTAGACACCATATCAACTAGACTAAGGAGGTGTCTACAGGTAGACACCATATCAACTAGACCAAGGAGGCGGTCTACACGTAGACACCATATCAACTAGACCAAGGAGGCGGTCTCCAGGTAGACACCATATCAACTAGACCAAGGAGGCGGTCTCCAGGTAGACACCATATCAACTAGACCAAGGAGGTGGTCTCCAGGTAGACACCATATCAACTAGACCAAGGAGGCGGTCTACAGGTAGACACCATATCAACTAGACCAAGGGAGGGACACAATATCAACTAGACCAGGTGTAAACACCATGTACATGGCCTATCAACTAGACACCATATCAACTAGACAAAGGAGGCGGTTTGCAGCTAGATTCAGGCTCTATATCATCTACATCAAAAGGTGGCGATCACTGGGCACTTTGTTCTAAGTATGGACGGAACATCTGATATAAAGACTATAAAACTCCCTGGTAGTTCCTAGTCAATTATTGTTGCAGAAAAGAAATTAGGGAACTAGGCCTGTCAGATACCTAAAATAAGACTTAGGTAGTAGACATTTTTAATGTATTGTTATTAAACAAAGATTTATTGGTGGAAAGACCTTTCTGCATGATGCTCTTAGAAAACCACAGGAGAATGTGTCACGTGGATGCACTCTGAATTTAACTAAGTCTGAATGATTGCATGTGATCTTGAGTTAATCAGACATCTACTTTCAAAAACAATTTGGCTTCAGTTCATTACTCCTTCATTTCAACTTTTGACTTTTACAAATGAAGACACACCCAGTGTGTGTGTGTGAGTGAGTTTGGTTTTACGCCGCTTTTGGCAATATTTCAGCAATATCACACATTGTACCCATGTGGGAATCGAAACCGGGTCTTCAGCGCTATGAGCGAACGCTTTAAACACTAGGCTACACCACCGCCTCTAAAGCACACCCAGAACATGAATACACTTTTGATGTTGCTCAGAAACATGATGGCATAAAATATATCTAGAGCAATAAGATGGTTAATGTTTTTTGTGTCTTCATTCCGAAGTGGATGCTTTCTTTCATTTTCAAGAAACAGAAATAGGATGAAGTGATGGGGAACACTACTCCTTCATGGAAACCTAGGGTAACCTCTCTAGCCAGGGGTGGAAATAACTTTAAAATTGCTAGTGTACTCCGGTACAGTGGCACATGTAAAATCACTTGCCCTGATCATTTTCCCACTATACCGGCTGTTTTCTTGTTGATTTTTGAAATAAACAACATTATTACATTGGAAAGTCAACTGGACACCGGTACAGTGTGATATACAAATTTGCTTGCCCGACAGAAAAAGACACTGGACTCGGACGTCGGCCAATGGGTTATTTCCCACCCCTGCTAGCACTGGAGGATCGCTAGTTTTAAACATAGAATATTATAATATTAAGCAAGTGATTATATATAATGTTAGGTTTGAGCAAGACAAATATGCCTTAGTTCTTTGAGAAGCATTTTATAAGTTGTGAAGATGAATGAAAACTAAGTTCTATGGATAGTCAACTTCTTTATTGCAATGAGTGCGACGTTTCGGTGTAGGTACTAACATCACTTGCTTGATAACGGTGTTAGTACCTACACCGAAACATCGCACTCATTGCAATAATGAAGTTGACTATCCATAGAACTTAGTTTCCCTAAATATGCCTTAGTCTATTGCCTAGTTTCTCTGATATTATTCAAAGGGGATCATTAACAATGAGACTACAGGTCACTTGACTAGACTACAAACACCAGTGAACGGGCGATGATTACACCAACATTTTTCAGTGTAAAGCGATACTTTTCACGTTCACTGTTGGGTAGTTTTTGTTTTTTTTCATGAATGAAACGCAACTCACAAATCAAGCCGATTCAAGAGCACCTGGGGCGTTGCAATATTCTTTTGAAACGACCAGTGACACGCAAATGCACAGATTTTTATATAAAGGTCATTCTTACTAAGTGCCTTGAATATTAACTGGCTTCTCCCATTGATGACCCCCAAATATTCCGCATCTCCACTCTTACTGTCTCATGTCGTTCCACCAAGCGATAGTGTGCGGGCGACTGACTGTCTGTGGATAACATTATGTGTATACGTCATCAATTTTGCGATCTGTCAGACGCCTCGGCTATTTCCGTTCGTTTCCGATTTCTCCCGTTATGAGGCATCGACGTGTTTGATTGGATAACGATGGTTACCGAGGTACTTTCTCACTACTGCCTCACTCGTCATTGTACGGAACTGACCAGCCATTGGAAACGAAATCAAGAAGACGACAAACAATCATCGTCTTTTATCAACCGATTAACCGCATAACAAGCGATTTCGATAAAGTATCCCAATAAGGAGTGTACTTAAGGACATCTTCTTGGTTTCGGCCAGCGAGAAGAAAGCCTATGCCTTGAATGAAAGGAGAATTTTCCCTTTTTACTGGTGTCGTAACAGAACATTTGGCCATTTTTTCGGATCAGCTCCTGGAAATGTAACAGATCTCTCTTCGTCTGTACGGAAGTTAGTCTCACAATCGCATCTTTCGACGCCATATAATGAGCGGAAGACCAAGGACAACTTCTTTTGCCGAAGGAGGACGGGCTGGACAGCCTGCATTCGGAGGAATGAAAACCTTCGGTAAGCCTATCCGTCGTTATTCTGGGTCAGGCATGAAAACCTGATAAAGATGGCGGACAGATCAATCCAGCAGTCAGCATCCTGTCTTTATAAAACAGACAACAGTGGTACTCGTATTGTTGATTGTGTATTTATGCCAGTATATTCTTTTTTCAGTTATTAAAATTGCTAGTGTGTAGATTCATTGTGTCATTTAATGAGGTCAGAAATGTCTATCGAACGTAGACTTGACACTGACAGCCGTACAGACTGTCAGTTGTGGACGAGCCCTAAATTAAATCTTCTAATAATATTCATAGGAAATGCCTATTTGTGATAAACTTCGATGCTATGTTAACCTGTAAGAAGAAATTGATGAAACTGAGGTGAGAATATGGATGACCTATGTTTGTCCTGGTTACAAATAGTTTTATCCAGTGTTCCAGAATTCCCATTTCCATAGATAACCATGATAACTGCATGTAATAAAAAAATGTCTGTAATCTCCTCTACTTGCAAACTATTGCAATCAGCAGTTAATCGAAAAGCATATGAAACCATACTGATCTTTTAATCAAAGCTCTTGTTGTATAATAACCCATTTAGCAGCTTCTTTGGCTAGAATACATTATACCAGATACCTAGCAGGGTTAGGGTTATTTACATCTCAGTTTGATATTTTTTCACCTTTCCACGCTCGCATCACGTGACCTAATAAAATATAGCAGGCAGGTATCCGGTATAATGCATGTGTACCGCTTCTTTCGTTATTATTGTATAGTATTGGACATATCTAAATGTATGGAAGGCAGTATATTTCCATTGATATCTAATATGATGGCATCACATCATACTAAGCATGCACAATATTGTCAGTATTCCAGTAAGTCATGGGATTTTTCCTTTCAAGAACACATATCACAAAGTAAATTTTTCTTTGTTTTGGCCAAGTTACTTTAAATACTGATTTGTATCAAATGTTGCAGATATTTTCCTGTAAATCCAATTTTTTAGTCTCTTCCTTTCTTCATGAAGATCATGATTTGTTCATTGTTGTCGCCCTTAGTTGCATTTGCATAATTTCATATCTTCAACTGTTTCTCCCAATGTCGAGAAGGTCTAAAATGGTGTATGGAATATTATTAAGAATAGCAAAATAAGGTTGAAATGTGGCCTAAACAGTTTGATGGGCCATTGAGGAATATGTGGCTGTCTTGTGAATGGGATACCCTGGTTACAATTAGTGATAGAACAACGTACCCGATGTTCAGCACAGCTAAGCACTATCAGCCAATGACACAGCTATCATAAACAACTCAAAAGCTTACTGTCAGTGTCTTCATGAAGCCTCTTACTCAGCCAACCAAAGTTTGGTCCAGTGCCTGCAGCAGATGATACTGAAAATACTCGATGTGAATTACAACTTCCCCAGTTCCTCTGAATGAATGAAAATAAGAACATCAAATGTTAAACAATATCACCTTTTGTCACAGTTTGGTTGTCAAGGGCTTTTGTTTGGAATCCTAGATAAATCCCTGCATTATACAACATCACCAGTTCATTATGTCAGCTGCAGTCTTCAAGTCCCTCAACATGAGATTTCTGGTCTTGTGATCAACTTGGAATTCACTGATAAATGGTCAGGCAGTCATGATTACCGGTATGTCAAATTCAGAATGTGAATAGCGTGTGCCAAAATATATTACCTGAACAACACACGTTGAACTCATTTTTCAAAACAAAGACATTGATTAAATGCACTTCTGGACCAGTACTGTAAGTAGGCCAAACATTTGGAAAAATGATGGCATCAATTCTTTTAAAAATGACAGGCACAAAAATAAAAATGTTACAATTGGAAGAAAGGTCTGTCCCTGCATGAAGTTGAGCTAAAGTTTGTCATTAGTCTTATGTTGATGTATGTGTAGCAGGGCGTGGAGTCATCCCACAGATGACATCCTTACCTTGTCAGCTTGCTGACTGGGTTAACCTCTTTGGTCATGTGGACAAGGCGTCCGACTTCGGATCAGGTCTGTGGTTCGAATCCAAGCCCGGGACTCGGAAATTTTATGGCCGCTACATTGGCGCCCAACGTGGGGCTGAGCACGTTCATATCAAATTTGAGCAAAATAAGTCTCAGTACACAACTATGCGGTTTAGGACTTGCCTTCTGTTGACGGGGGAGTATGTAGCAGGGCGTGGAGTCATCCTACAGATGACATCCTTACCTTGTCAGCTTGCTGACAGGGTTAACCTCTTTGGTCATGTGGACAAGGCGTCCGACTTCGGATCAGAAGGTCCGTTGTTCGAATCCCAGCACGGGACTCGGAAATTTTATGGCCGCTACATATGTGATGAGTGATCTCTTCATAATAGTCTTATACCCGCATGCTATGAGCATTGAACATGCTGTCAACCACTAGTTTACCTGAACAGGGAATACTAAGGCAAAAAGCAATCGCTTTCTTGCAAGATTAAAGTGTATAAAACAAATGTTCAACATGATCAAATTCAAAAACTCTTTTTCGCATTTCTATAATCAGAGCATATTTTGATCTCTGGAAAAAAAAGCTAGCATTTTGAATGGTTCTACTTGACGTCAATCAAAATTTACATTAGTTGTATAGGGGGGCGGTGGGGTAGCCTAGTGGTTAAAGCGTTGGCTCGTCACGCCGAAGGCCCGGGTTCAATCCCCACATGGGTACAATGTGTGCAGCCTATTTCTGGTGTTCCCCACTGTGATGTTGCTGGTATATTGCTAAAAGTGGCGTAAAACCAAACTCAGTCAGTCAGTGTATAGACCCTTGCCAAAATTTCCAACATTTAAGGTATCAAAGGACGAGTAGAAATTTGACATTTAAGGGTTTCACAGTGTATTATAAAAACCAGTACAATGAAACTGGTAGTTTGGATTTATACACTTGATTGGACTCTCATTCAGGCAACATCCATGTGTCTTGACACATACCACTAGTCATGGGATTACAGTTTCCAAGATCAAGATGCTTTTCTTCCAAGGGATTGACAGTTTTCTTCATCTGTACGAACTTATTGATTCATACCCTGACAGTGAATGTATCATCCTGACAAGTCTATTGATTATTTGTGATTGGTTAGTGTGTCCGAAGCCTTGAATGTGTTGCCATGAACCTGATACAATTCATGTAGGGTACTTGGTAACAGAAAACTGTTTTACCACGACTTGACTGAAAATCCATATTGATGTATAAGAAATTAGCCTTGGTTGTGACTGTGGTAACCTGATGTTTCAAAATATTTGAGCCAAAACAGATTATTGTGACAAAGAAAAGGATCCTTTAGCCTGTTCGTTTTGGTCAGCAAGCCTGACATATACTCTGTTCACTGTTGTGAGCGTAAACATTTCATGATAAAATCCGAAATGGGCGTGTATTGATTCCCAATATAGTGCTTTATAATGAACTAATAAACCTGGGGCGGGGGGTTACTATAACTTGTGGTTAAAGCGTTCGCTCGTCATGCGAAGACCTGGATTCGATTCCCCACACTGGTACAATGTGTGAAACTCATTTCTGGTGTTCCCCGCCGTGATATTTGCTGGAATATTGCTAAAAGTGACGTAATACCAAAACTCACTCACATACTGATATACCTGGTGATAAAAACGGTTTTAATTTAGAGCATTGGGAAACTGATCAAGAAATTTAAAAAATCAGACATTCTACTGTTTTTTAGACCTAAGTCCCATTCACTACAGTGGCAGTCAACACATTTGATGGGGAGTGTGTCAGCTATTACCTATCCAAAAAAAACAACACCCCTAGCTTTTACTATTATGCAGAAGAGGTATGTATATTATAGCCACAAATATTCAGAAGATTATTGATACATTTTTGTGTTGCTAGTCAACATATATCACACCAGTTTTACAATATGCAGAAGCAAGATATCGATTACTGTTTCTATAGATATTTATACTGCCAACAGTAGATATACAATGCACACAGCAGCTAATTGCCTTACAAAGGAGTAAATACACTGGTAGAATTTAACATGCTGGAGAGATATGTTGTTACTGGTTTCAGTGTACAGACCTAATCTAGTGTACGCCAGAAGCCATGAGGCAACTGCATGGCATGAACAGCAAATTTCAGTGTGTACTCAAATACTATCAATACATGTGTCTGTACAGTATCTGGTGATGACACTTTAGATTGTCACCTTGATAATGCAATGTTAGAAATAGGGCTAGAGTATTGCCTGGAATATTGTATTGCAATATATTTTGATAATGAGGTCCATATTGCAATAGATATTACAGTATATTGCCATGCACAATTATCGCAGCTGTGAAGCTGGCAGACATAAACAAGTTGACATTCTGTCGGTTGTAATGATGTGCAAAACAGGAATATCAGTATTAGGACTGCAGGGTATTTCTGGTATACCGCAATACCCTTGTCGACCAATACATATTGCATTAATGTTTGTGAGAATCAGTGTATTTGGAAAAGGAATACATGAAGTTTAGTATCTCCATGGTTTACATAAAAATCAACACGCTTTCATTCACAACTTAATTAACTTTGTAACTAATTGCTCAAAGGGCATGCTTCACATACCATATATTGTTTTTTTTATAAAAATAAAATAGAATTCCTAACTATATAATCAAAGTTTGCTAGTATGAAATATACATATGCATATTCAATTTATCATAACACTTATTGCAACACTGTACCTAAATTGCAATACTAGTATATTGCTAGTTTGCCAATACACAACCCTAAACAGTAGTGCAACCTTCACTTGTGGGCAACCAAAGTTAAAAACTGGCATTCCCAGACAAGTGTTGCATGTTAATGATAGTGTTGTTAATTCAAGTAAAGCATCGCAACTCTTTGCTTGTGTTTTTTGTCTCATTAATGCATATCGTCAATATGGAGTCCGTGCTCCCCGTGTCCTTTGAGTGTGCATTTTGTGCATCACTTGAGGTAGCTAACAGCCTGCCTTATGATTTTGCCTATAAAACCAAGTCATGGGTTCAGCTACTGTATTTGAACATTGACAATGCATGGTCGAATGACAAATGCTTTCAATGGTACCAACTTATGAAATAGCATTCAATCTTCTTTGTCTCTCTCAGTGCTTACTGAGCGAAATATTCTCAAGCACGACATTAAACCCAATTTCACCTCACCTCACCTCAGTGCTTATTTATGATGCAAAATGAGTCTGGGATATAAAAAAGCCCCAGGTAATCCAACAAATAACCACATTAAATTATGATGGATATTGAGATGAAAGTCAATTTATTGTGCTAATATCTACATGAATTGCATGTGCCCTCTTTGAGGTCAGCTTATGAACAACGTCTGGTTCCTTCCTCTTCTTGGGGAAGTGTTTCAGTGATGAAAGCACAAGTGCTTGACACTAAATTTGCATTTTAGTCTTAGAGCTTTTTACTCCTGAGATGAATGATGACTGGTTGCTGTTGTACTTTGATGTTTGAACGGTTAACTTTTGTTTTCTTTGTAGTGCTAAATTATGAGAGGTTTCTAATCTCAGAAACTAATAGTCACTGTTTGTAGTAGAAGATATGTTTCTGGAAAGATATGTAGAATTATTGCACAGGTGCTTTGTTTGGAACGGTGTCTTTGATAATCTTTCCGTTTTACGTAAGTCTCTATAAACTCTGATGGTTAGATATAGGCACCAATGGACGTGTCTACAGTCCACAGCTTTTTTTTCCAACAAATCGCTTATGAAAAACAAGTTTGTTTAATGACAGACTCCAATTTATTCATGCGACATGAAGACAGTGTGTAAATAATCAGATCTGGACATTAGGTTGAATCTGGATTCAGTGACTGACATCATGAGCATCACCCTATGCATGTGGAGTACGATGACACATCAACCTAACTTGCAAACATGACCACCGATGTCGTTAGTTGTCTGTTATGAGAAGCATTGGTTATTGAAGGTCGATTCTACCTATGTTCTGTTATTTACTGCTGCTTTGAACAACAATATTATTAGTTAAAATAGTAACATGTATTAGTCATGAATGTCGAAGTCTTGATTTTCAAGCTGAAGTAGAATAATTCAAGTGTGGACTGGAGAGATAAAAATATCGGATTGGAGACAAAAGTAAAGAATGACAGGCACATTGTCACTCATAATGATGAACGTTTGTGAAAAGCTTTGGGCTTAGTCTGTTAATTACCCAGGATGCCATAGCTGGGTCCATAGAGGGCAGACAGAAGACAGGCCTCGCCTCTAATTATAGCTTTAGGCAGGAAGTGAAACACTCATTGTGGGAAATAATTCCTTCTCCATGTAATAATGGTGGTCATCAGGACTATAATGTGTGAATTGCTGCAGTGTCTGTTGTATTGGCACTGGCTCGGACTCATAGTCATTTTCCATGTTTTAGTATTCAGATATAGCCCGATTACATAACCCAGACCAGACTGTGACTGGTGCTTATTTTATGAAATATTGAGGAATTAGGAATTCTCGTATTTTTTCCAACCCCACAAACATGAAACCTTTTAATTCTGAATCTGGTTACCAAAAATTCAAAATCATAACTGTTTCTTAAAGTTCGCATTTTGATTGTCAATTTTCCAAATCTATTTAAAAATAAAATCATGTCAATTCTATAATTACATAGCTTATTATCACAGACTATACTTTGGTTTAATGGTTTGATAAGAATCGGGCACTAATGGTTGTGAGTACTACTGAATGGCAACTATTTCACGTACATAAACACCATTTGTGGGCAAGTTGGGTGTTTGTTCATTAATGTTGTTACGTCACGAACAACATGCTCTATGGAAGTAAGGTATGCGTGACAGGACTGTTGTATTGCTTCATTGCCATTGCTCGCAAATATATCCATGAGGCCTTTGAAGGACCAACATTCCACAAGTCTGAATTTATTAAATGAATATGCTATTAATAATTCTTTGGTCATTCACTGGAAATGTAGAAAAGCTCACTAGAAACATAAAGCCTTGTCACCAGAACAAAGCTATTTGTCTCCTAATGACACACCTCCATCTATTTTGGTTATAAATAGATGTTATTTATATAATCTCGTAGATCAACAGTAATAAACAAGCCACTGTAATGAGAGGTCCAAAAGGGATATCCCTTCATCTTTTATTACATATGATTATTTGTAGCATGTATATGCATGCAAAATGTCACTTGTCGGCAGTCCAGCAAATGCACAAGAAATATTTTATCAACTCCCACACTTATTATGGACAAACTCTTAGAGAAGAGAATGCAACCTTCAGTTCCAAACCCTTACTTGTCACCTAAGTGATTAGTGATTGCCAACCCTATATTTTATTAAGAGGTATGAATAAAATAGGCTTTCAGATACCATTGTTTTTTCCTGGCACCAACGGACATCAGTCATTCTGATAGAGTAAGTCGACATGTTGGCCACAAGCTTGATTGAATAAACAATTACACATTGATAAATATGTTATTAGTTTGTACTTAACTTCTTAAAAAAAAATCCTACCTACCTACGGTAAATTTATAGAGGTGTAATCGGAAACACAACATTTTTCTATTTGGCCTGATCACCACAATGGTTGAATTCCAAGATCCTATACACAATGCCTATGACATTAAGCAGGTGTAGAGTTGTCCCTTACTTCTATATGTGTATTGTGAAAGGTATCCTAACTTTGACACCGATTAATGTTCCCCATACTGTTTTTTCCAGGGAAAGATGGGTCAAAGGTGAACACTGTTGTGGCCACTCCAGGCATTGGCAGTGACCGACCAATAGAGGTCAGCTACACTGATGCCAAGGTGATCGGCAATGGCTCCTTCGGGGTTGTTTATCAGGCGAGACTCGTCGAGTCATCTGAGCTAGTTGCCATCAAGAAAGTTCTCCAGGACAAGAGGTTCAAGGTATGTTTGTGAACTTGCTATAAACAGTCAAGTCAGAAGCCCAAGTCACGTCGATACCTATAACACTAAACTTGACTTAACGTAGTGCCTCAATGCTTTTAGCACATCTGTATTAGTTATAAGAAGATATCACAACGTACACGAAATGGTCTTTTTTGTTATTGTTATCAATGTGAAATATGGACCTGCCATGTTGACCTTGACTACTTTGTTGTCTTGATAGTGAAAAAATGATCTAGGTAGCCTGATGTATTTTTCTAGTGAGCTATAATATACAAGCCTTCCTGTGTCATCTCAAAAAGAAAGTATTCCCCGGAACAATATAATGGATTTCTTTAGACAGTAACATTGAGTTGCAGCTCTATTCCTTATGTTATCATACATTTCACTGTTGGTTATATTTTTGTGTGTTTCATTAGTACCAGGTTACATAAAGATTCAATATGTATATAACGGTTATGCAAAATGTACACCATCTAATTGGAGATTGTATTGCCATCCTTACTTCCACTTCCACTGGCAGATATTGATTTATCTTGTACCATGTCAGTTGGCTGGCCAATCGTGATAAAACACAGGGATGAGCATTCAAACTGTTTTTGTAGGAAATATGCAGTGTGAAACAGAAGTCGAATGAAATTGGTGTCTGTTTACAAAATTTATTAAAGTAATTATTATTCATTGCAAATGCAGTGTTAGGGCTTGGTTTATTTGGTTGGTTGTTTAACACTGCACACAGAAATATTCCAGCTATATGGTAGCTGTCTTTAAATAATTGACTATGAACAAGACAATCCAGTGATCAACTGCATGAGCATCAATCTAAGCAACTGGAACACGATGACATGTGTCAACCAAGTCAGCAAGTCGGACCACTCGATCCCGTTAGTCACCTCTTGCGACAAGCATGGATTACTGAAGACCAATTCTAACCCGGATCTTCAGGGGTCATAGCTTGGTGTGAAGCTCCAGTAAACTTTCTAGTGGAGACACTTGGAGAAAACATGTAGCTATCCTCTTCCACATGCATAAACCAACCCCTTTCCATACCACCCTCATTCAGGATACTCAAAACTGTTGCACCTGTGAAGATCCAGGTTAGAATTAATCTTCAGTAACCCATGCTTGTCCTAAGCGGCGACTAAAGGATCGGGTGGTTAGGCTTGCTGACTGGGTTTACACGTGTCATCCAGTGTTCACGAATGGTGTTTCAAAGTAACAGCACATTTCAGATTTGACATTTCTTTAATATGCATTGAAATTATTAACAAACATAAGATTTATGAACAGCAAACAAGCGTCACATGTCATATAACAATGTCAGTCAAAGTCATTGTGAAATGTACAGTCAGACACTGGGGCCGGCGGGTTGTTTAGAGAATAACCAACGAGGTACGAGTGATTATGGGAAATATGCCCAAGTTGAAATAATGTTCACAGTGCCGAGCCTTGACTATTTAGTCTATTTATTACCCATAATGTAATTTAAAAGAAAGAACCACGAAATAAAAACCACCCGGAGACAGGACTTCGTATTCATGCTCGTATTAAACCTAACTTCTCCAGCGGTAATAATGTAACTACGCTATGGAAATAGTACATCATAAAATCGCTTTAAAATACAACAAAATTATTATGCCTGGAGTAATTAATTAACATTTGTTAATATGATAAAAATGATCTTTTAAATATATCATTGAACTTAATAAGAGCTAAACATTTATTCGATCAAGTCAGTGCGACGGAACATCGTTCATTCACGACTGACGTGTTTTCTAGTGACAGGTGACGGTGTAGTGTTGAAACACACTCTGGCAAAAACCTGTCAATTTTTGGGAAAGTCAACGGTTAAAAGTTGGGAAATCTAAAAGACAACCATCCCACGAATACATCCAGAAAAAGTTTTCTGTCAAGAAACTCAACAAGTTTGAAGATTAAACAACATTTTGTTCTGTGGAAGGCGTGTTACACTCTCTTCTCAGTAGAGTACAGCAGTCCCAAGAAGGATAACTCTAGTCGGAATACGAGTCTATGAAATGTGTCAATCTCTGCATCAGCTACTGGGACCAACCTCTCAGATTGATTAGGAATGCATGGATATAAAAAGTCATCTTGAAGAAGAACATTTAGCACTGATTCCGGTAAGAAAGGATCTGTTTTCTGGTTCGATGGCATGGACGCCGTGTCCGACTTACTTGTTACACTTTCAGATAACATCTTTAGTCGGTATCTTGCTGTTTCTATTTCCCCGAATTCAGTTTTCAACAACAAACAGGTTTTGGGAGTTCAAGGGCTGTAAAATTCTTATCACTCTTCCTATTTGGTCACCGTCAACTTTAACTAGGTAAGTGACCTTGATCGGGGTTAGCCTAACGGCGGCCATGTTTGTTTACAAACAATGCAAACGATTGTTTGGTGTTTTTTTTAAAGATTATATAATTTAAAAAGACTACTATTTATAACGCAGTTTTATTCCAAAATAATAACGTCTAATAAAAAGAATATTCATATTCTTTAACCTTATTGTTTTCTTTTTTTTTCTCGGAATGTGTGATTACATTACTTAATGTCAATTTATCAATGAATCGATGAAACTTTATGAATGAACGTAGTGTGTGAAAGTAGTTCCGGCATCCAATGAAAATGTACAAATATACGATCAACCAATCAACGTCGAGAATCACTAAATTGCACACTGTGCAAATATCAAAAAGATATTACACGGGATCTCCTCACCCGTATGGGTAATAAAGACTTCTATCGGACCTTCTTCTTTGATTGGCATTCTAGAAGTTGGGTAGATGAAGAATGAGGACTATTTTATGGATATATAACTTCTTTATTCTGTGTAGGCGACGTAAGTGCTTGACAACAACATTAGAAAATATGTCAAAACGTCACCTATACAGAATAAAGAAGTTATATATCCATAAAAATAGTCCTCACTCTTCTATCAGACCGCTGGCGAATCTGCTGGATTTGTCAGAGGGTCAGACGCTATTCGTGAACACTGGTCATCGTATCCCAATTGCGCAGTACGATGCACATTCTGTTGATCCCTGGATTGTCAGGTCCAGATCTGATTATTTTCAGACCGCCGCATATAGCTGAGTGCGCCGTAAAACTAAACTCACTCACTCTAAGCTGTTCCATATTGTTGTGATGTTGCTGTGGCACTAGATTGTATCTCACTGATCCATGCAATGGTTTAACGTGTTGCAACAGTGTAGCACAAACACTTCCTGTTCATATCAGTCGGATACACCATGTTCTTTTCCAGAATCGAGAGTTGCAGATAATGCGCAAGCTTGAGCACCAGAATATCGTGAAGCTGAAGTACTTCTTCTATTCAGCGGGCGATAAGGTAAGAAGGAAGGTGTGTCATTATCATTAGTTTCTTCTGTTGCCACCTTCTCATTGTGCTGACGGATACAAATACTATTAAATAAGGGTTAAATATATGTGGTCGAAAACATAATCATGGACACAGCTTTGATGCTGCAGACAGAACATCTTATTTTTTTAATTTATGTAATTGTCTTTTGTCACGTCTAAACAGCATAGTTTTCAACATATCTCTCTCGAAATTCCTGAAAAATTGTGAACACTTATATATTATGACAGATTTATGTTTATTAGCAGATGTAAATAGTATTTGTATCCTGCAGTACAAGACCGTTGCATTCAGATAACATATTCTTTGTATAAAAAACGGATGTAAAATATGACTGAAACATTCTATAAGCAGTACTTCATATCTCCATTTTTATAACAGAATTGAATCTCTGGTCTTAATTGAGGAGTAAGCATATGATGAATGAGTCTTGTAAAATGCAAACACTAACAAACTAATATTGTGGCTTATCTGTGAAGATTAACTTCAATACAATTTTGGTAAGCCCCAAACCTGCACCTGTTGACACAGAATAATAGTTTCTGACTTCCCAACTCTGAATGCAACAGTCTATCATTTTGTGTTAATCATCATCAGTTGTTTATAGAAGTTTACACTTTCCAAGTAGTGGTCATTGAGTGATGTAGTTTGTTGGTTGAGTTACTAAGTAGATAGAGCGTCTAGCTGGAGAGCCCAAGGTCAGCCCCAGGCTTCATCCTACCAATAGACATTATGAGATAGTACTTTTCATTCTGCTTGGTCTAACAACCTTTAGATTTAGCAAGTTGCTCTAACATTGTTGATTGCGTTAGTTGTTTGTAGTGTCCAGTTGTTTACATGTTGTCATAACTTTTCCAGGTTGAAGTCAAAACATACTTGTACTTGAGGAAGACTGTTACTCTTTCTTCCTTTTCATCATCCTCAAAATGATTACTTAGATAATTTTCAAGGGAGATAGGGAGAATACAAGTAGGCCTCCAGATCCCTATTATCCTTTGGACTTTTTTGGTAGAATATGTCCCCAGCACCCATTCATGGTTGTAAGAGGTGACTAAATAGTGATAGGGATTCCAGGTGAGAATTGCTAGTCCCACGGTATCTGTTTTGTTCTTAAGAGGTGACTTGCATGGTTTGCATGTCATTGACTTGGCGAAACATGGATCAATCACTGGTTTGTCTGGTCAACTGACAGTTACTAATAATTATAACTTCGGTCCGCATTATTCACAGAAATTACAATCATATTGCTTCAAAAGGAAGTTTAGTTGACAGAAAATGGATACGTTTATATATACATTTTGTTTCACATGTCAACAAACTGGCATGCTTATTTCACATCGTTCCATATGTGCGTACAACTTCCTCTTACCATGTTCGTTCCAACTGCAATAGCACCATTATTCTCAACTATCACGTACTGATTACCGCCTCACCCTCCATGGAGGCCATGCGCATACAACTTCCGCTTACCATGTTCGTGAGGGTCCATATAACGCAATGCTGGGATATATATTTTATATTGGTAAAATAATAGTTTTAGATATTATATTTTACCGATCACTACGTCAGAATTCATCCTGTTATATTATTGGGTATGTTTTAACTAGATCGCCGGGAAATGTGTGCACAGCTGATTGCTATTTCCAGCTCTATATACGAGGCAAATACACGCGATAATCTTAATCCCTGCATAATAAAATGCCTAGCAAAAACAAATTAGGACTGAAAAGGTAAATAATGTTATCTAGTGATGTTTTAGTTGCAAATTTGATGTCTTCACTGACAAAGTAGTTTTCTCTTTTTTGTTCACGCGAAACAATACAATGTCTTTTTCTTTTTGATCACCAGAGAAATATTTGACAAAAGTGTTAACCCCAGATAATCTGACCCCCTTCTACAGGCTGCATGGGTTTTTTTATCCCCCGCCACGCGTTTAGCGCGAAGCGGGGGATATAGTATTAGGCTACGTCCGTCCGTACGTACGTACATACAAATTGGAATATCTTAAGAACCGTTCACTAGATTCTTTTCATAATTGGTACCTAGGTTCATCACAGTATAAGAAAGGTCCAAGTCAGGTTTGGTGACCTTGACCTTAATTTCAGGGTCACAAGGGGACTTCTACGTTTTACCTGCATGTTAAGCTATCTCAAGAACCGTTCCCTGGATTTTCTTCATATTCAATACAAAGCTTTATGTAGGGAAGGCGCAGGGCCCAGTCGATTTTGGTGACCTTCACATAATTTTCAAGGTCATGGCGACACTTTGAAGATTTCAGCATGTAAACCCACATGTTCAGCTATCTCAAGAACCATTCCCTGGATTTTCTTCATATTCAAAACAAAGCTTTATGTAGGGAAGGCGCAGGGCCCAGTCGATTTTGGTGACCTTCACTTCATTTTCAAGGTCACAGAGACACTTTGAAGATTTGAGCATGTTAACCTGAATTGTCAGCAAGATATTTCAAAAACAGTTCACTGGATCTTCTTCAAAACTTTCAAGATTTCCCTTAAATGTTTTTCAAAAAGCAATTTCTTTAGTACTAATTTTGCATATTTGATACACTATGACATTCATGTCCAAGTCAGTCTTGAAAATATGTGTGTGTTTGAACACCTAAAGAGCAAGACATCAAGAGAGGTTGACTGGTCATGTTTTTGTTGACATTTAACTTAAACTTTCATTACTTTATAAGTTTGATTTGATAATTTGCGGCAGGGGATTATGTCACCTTAGTGACAATGCTTGTTGTCTTCAAACTTTGGCTTATCTGTTGTAATATACAGTATTTATTTATTTATTTATTTATAATTAGGCTCTGTCCGTCCGTCCGTCCGTTCGTATGTACGAATTGGAGTATCTTAAGATCTGCTGACTGGTGACCTTCACATAATTTTCAAGGTCATGGTGATACTTTGAAGATTTCAGCATATTAACCTGCATGTTATGCTTGTCACCGAGATACCTCAAGAACCATTAACTGGATTTTCTTCATATTTGACGCCAAGCTTCATCCAGGGAAGGCGCTGGGCCTAGTCGATTTTGGTGACCTTCACTTAATTTTCAAGGTTACCACGGCACTTTGAAGATTTCAGTATGTTAACCTGCATGTTAAGATGGTCAGTGAGATATCTCAAAAAACATTCACTGGACTTTCTTCATATTTGACACCAAGCTTCATCTAGGCAAAATGCAAGGCCCAGTCGATTTTGGTGACCTTCACATAATTTTCAAGGTCACTGCGACACTTTGAAGACTTCAGCATGTTAACCTGAATTCACTGGATTTTCTTCATAGACTTTCAAGACTTCCGTTGAATGTTTTTCAATATTCAATTTCTTTGGTACCCCTTTGCATATTTCATACACTATGACATTCATGTCAAGGTCAAAGTCAGTCTTGAAAATATTTGTGTGTTTGAACAACTAAAGAGCAAGATATCAAGAGAGGTTGACTGGTCATGTTTTTGTTGTCCAACGCCGTCACCACGACACTTTGAACACTTTTCGACACTTTGAACACTTACTAAAAAATCAGAGAGAGAGGTGGGATTATACTTATGTCAACATGACAACACCTGTCCTATATGCGAGATCAAGTGACAACGAATTAAGGAAGAGTGTATACAAGTACTTACAATAATTAAACATAGAAATCATAAAGTAGTGTTTGTTGTTCATGAACACATGTTGTTCACATGGCCAAATCGTTGATTGGCTGCATTTCTTGTCTTTGTTTCAATTTGTGGTGTATATATGATTCAATTTCAATATCTCACCTTATGCATAGAAATCTGGAATCAGGATGGTATTACGAATGTGGTTAGCGAAGGCTCCTAAATCTCAGACACCTGGATTACCTGATCCGAATTGCTGTAAAGACGAGGGTGATTTTGAAGTGACCATAGCGGCCAATAACGCAGTTGACAAAATGGAAGAAATGTCAGAAAGTTCATCTAACAAAAAAAGAAAATGTGGCGAGTACACCAATTACAATGAAGAAATTAGGGGTAAAATTGCTGTCTATGCAATTGAAAATGGCATGATGAAAGCATCCAGAAAATTTTCATCTGAATTAAAGTGGAAAGTTAGCGAGTCGACAGTGAGGGGAATGAAAAACAAAAAAGTTTTCGAAAACAGCAAATGAAAACTGGCGAATCTCCATGCCGATTGGTCAAAGCTGTCAGAGGTCAAATGCCAAAGTTGAACATGAAGAAGATATTAGGGCATGGGTTCGAAAAACTTGACTCTCAGGTGGAGCAATAAATACAAGAACTTTGTTAGCAGCTGCTTATGGAATCAAGAAAAAACGACATGAATCGCTTCTCAAAGAATTTGGAGGGAACATCGAGCTGACAGAATCATGGGCCCAGCCACTACTTTGTAGAATGGATTTTGTCAAGCGGAAGGGTACGAAAGATGTGAAACGACTACCAGCTGATTTTGAAGACATCAAGACAGAATTCATCAACCGAGTGTCAAAAGTGATTGAGAATCACGATATTTGATGAACTCGTAATAAACTGGGATCAAACTGGACTGTCGCTTGTGCCTGGAGGTGACTGGACTTGGGACGAACGTGGTACTAAACAAGTGACGATCTCTGGAATTGGTGACAAGCGTCAAATCACTGCCCTTCTCGTCATCACGAAGTCCGGAGAATTCCTGCCATCCCAACTGATTTATGGTGGTAAAACGGACCGATGTCACCCATCAGTGAAATTTCCCGAGGATTGGGATGTTACACATACGGACACACATTGGAGCAACGAGGAATATATGATGAGGTACATCATTCAAGTCATTGACCCCGACGTGACAGCGACACATGCTCGGCTTGGCTTACCAAAGAAACAGAAGGCACTTTGCATTTTTTATGTGTATCGTACTCATCGTGTGGAACCCGTGCAGAAACTGTTGGCGAAAAAGAACATTGTATTTGTGTATGTGCCTGCCTCTTGCACTGACAAGTTGCGACCTCTAGATCTCGCCATGAACAAGACTTTCAAAGATGAAATGAAACACTAGTTAGATGTGACGATCCCACATCGACAATTGATGTTGACATCAAGACAAGTGTTGTTAAACCTCTTCACACGCCCAGTGGATAATCACTACCCATGACAACATCTCCAAGCAAAGTGACCTGATCAAGAGTGGTTTCACTCAAGCTGGACTATTGTGATTTGTGACTGACGTAAGTGAGCTTTGTTCATGTTGTGATTACGAGTGATTCAGCTGTCAATCAATTGATAACAAACATTTGTTGATTGTGATCGCTATTACTAGTATATATGCCTCTATTCCTTAATGTATTGTTTTGATGTTGTTATCTGAGAGAATAAATTCCTACTTGAGTGTTTGTCATGACTTGACCATGAATATTTCGCGCGTGGTATGATTATTGGCGCACAATCTTTTTGTGCTAAGAGCGTGAAAATTAATCCAACACGAAAATAACTATGATTACAGTATTTTGTCCAAGTTTACTGCATGTTGCTGTACCCGCAACTAGGTGTTTGCACGTATTCATGTGGCCACCATCTGGTCATGTACCAACGGATTCGTGGGTTCTTCTAAGTGCACAGGGATGTGTACTGTACACTAGGGGCTGTGACAACACTGGGAGAGTCTGCACGCAAAGTACATATTTAACATAATTAACATAGGCTCAGCACTTTGGTTGCGTGGCTGGAGACACTTTACCCATGACACTGTTTGACATGTCACCGTTGACTTTCCGCGGTACATGCCACTCTGATTGCAAAACAAAATGTTGACAACTGTCAAATATGATTTCAATACGTCAGTAACGCTGGTCTTGGGGTCCATGGGTGACGAGACGGTATTCAGTTCATGATTGCTGAGAATATTGTGAAATTGGTGCTATCTCTGTAGGAGCGAATATCAGACCCTCACAAAATGGTAAGCGGATGTTGTACCAGTGTATGAAATAAGGCCTGTCCGACTGCCTGAGACAGACGGTCTAGATTTACAGCTAGCCAGCCTGATGGTCTGGTAAATTTTTATCCCACCGGCATGTAATGCGGTGAGATATAGTCGTCGCCTCGTCCGTCTGTCTGTCCGTCTGTAATCATTTTGTTTCCGGAGCATATTATTATTTTCTCGGTTTCCATGGAAACGATTCGGACTTAGTCCCTAAAGGAGGGGTGGGTTTCGTTTCCGGAGCACAACTTGAAAATTTCTCAATATCTTTCAGCAAAACTTAGCAGATATGTGAGGCAGATCCCAAAGTGGTGCCTTTTGCTATTTGCAGATTTTTGTCATTTATTTTTTTCATGATTTCCATGGAAACGATTTGCACTTAGTCTAAAATCAAGCTGGACTTTAAGTAACTGTCAGATGATTTGTTCTTTCAAAGATGTGGGGGCCGGGGGGATATGTCATCTTCTGATGACTCTTGTTTAGATGTTCCATACATCTGAGTAAATTCACCATATCTTGGTGTCTGGTCTGGTTAAATCCATTTTGGGCTGGTAACATTTTGAAGTTACGAGCCCTGATGTCTGGCTGGATTTTTGGTTTATGTCATACACTGGTTGTACGCATATAGAATGAGGCGAAATAAGCATGCCATTTCATACGTTTTCACTGATATGTCCGTGAACAGTATTAATGACTAAATTTAACACATTGACTGCCAGCACGAGTATGCTCGTAGTATCAATTCTGGCAGAATTTGCCACTATGAGTTACCTCGTAGCTATATCAGTGGTATTTTAAAACAAGTATTACTTTCAATCTCAGGAGCTTTTCTTCTTTATTAATAGTATTCCATTTATATGAGTGTATGTAAACAATTTCGCTGGATCAGACAATCTAGTGATTTTCAAAATTTGAGATGACAATCAACCAAGTCACCAGATTACCTTGATCCATTTAGTCACCTGCAGGTACAAGCATATGTTGATCGGGATCTATATTCTTACCTGTGTTCATCCTGAGTTTTTGTGTTTAAAAGAACCACCACAGTATTCTTCCAGAATTCTGATCTGAAGATGTTTCATAAACATGAAGATTGATAAGTATCACAACAGTGCTTCATAGATTATTGCATTGGTGATTAGGATGGAGAATTGCAGGTCTGATGATTTTGTTCAGTTGAACATTTCTTGTAAAAGGGTTTTCTAAATCTCAGCCAACAAGAAAATGATCTCAGGTATGTACTATGCATTGTTTAAGATTATGTGCTTTCAACACCTGCGGTGAATCATGCAAGTTTATAAGACCTGAGGTTTATTTAGGTTAAGACCCGACCTACAACATCAATCTCCTCGTGTTTCAATCTGAGACCATCACATGTGGACAGAAATGTTGTATTTACAGTGTGCATGAACAGGGATGCTTCTGTGTTGTAGAAAGATGAGGTGTACCTCAACCTGGTCTTGGAATATGTCCCAGAAACTGTCTACAGGGTAGCAAGACACTACAGCAAGAGCAAGAACTCGGTCCCGCTGCTCTTCATCAAGGTATACAGTGTTACTGGTAGTTTCACTTGCACACATGCATACACTGAAAAAATAAATACATTAATACATAACAATCTGACCCCATTTTGTTCACATCCCTGTCTGGGCGGTGGGGTAGCCTAGTGGTTAAAGCGTCGGCTCGTCACGCCGAAGACCCGGGTTCGAATCCCCACATGGGTACAATGTGTGAAGCCCATTTCTGGTGTCCCCAGCCTTGATGATGCTTGAATATTGCTAAAAGCGGCGTAAAACCAAACTCAGTCAGTCAGTCAGTCACATCACTGTCTAAGCTCAAGCAGCCAGCTAAAACCCCGAGAAGTGATATCTAAAAGAAGTGATATTAAACAATGAATCTGTGAAGAGATAAAACAAAACTGTTGTGTGCAGGAGATACTATGTCACAGTCTGGACATCCCATGCACCCATTTGTGACATTAACAAGCTGATATTTAACAATAAACGAATTAGGGGACATCTCATAGCTGGTGTATACAAGAGAACTTATGGCACAATATAGTATTGACTAAGGCTGTAACGATTCACTCGCATATTCGGTGAATCGAACCGTAGCCCTTCATGAATTCATTACGTTATTCGTGGTCACCAAAACCGAATATTAACGAATATTTACGATTCTTTTAAGGGAGCATGTTTTACTTGACCCATATGTCCTTTTCCATTGTGGAACATGTACTAGCATTGCAGTAGTGCAAGTCATGTTAGTTTGCCAAGACTGCACATGATACTGTCGATTATAACTATTACATACCAAATTTGAGTGTCATAAGATCACTAGTTATTGCTGTGACAAATCAAAACTGTCAACATGGGCGTTCCATATTGTACATCAATCACTTAACTACAATATTGTATTCGTAATAACTATTCGTATTCGTTACCCAATATTCATGATACGTATCATATTCGCCTCATAGTGTATTCGTTGCAGCCCTAGTATTGACTTACAAAATACAGCAGAACTGATGCCTAGCAATGAGGGTAACTCAGCTGTGGGAGTGTGTAAATGTTTTTTGTCACAAATGTTCTATTAATGATAATGAATTTTATTCCAGTTGTATATGTATCAACTGTTCCGCGAAGTCTTGCATACATCCATTCACAAGGAGTTTGCCATCGGGATATCAAACCTCAAAACCTCTTGTTAGACCCAGAAACTGGGATACTGAAACTGTGTGATTTTGGAAGGTAGGTTTCTTGACTGAAATATACATGAGATGTGTGGTATCTGTATTATACTCTTTGAATATGGGATGAACAATGTATGAGTCTTGTATTGATTAAGTTGAACAGGTCTGCTTTGTTTCAACTAGAAGCTTGAATGACACAAGTATTGTCCACTTTGATCTGATATATTTGTGAAGATCCATCTTAACCATTCTCAGTTCACATTACACAGTTTTGCTGTCACATTCTTCAGTGTTTTCTGAAGAAACACTTTGACGTGTTTCATTGATTTTTGCAAGATATGTATGTCAATAGGACGTTTTTATCAGCCTTTGGTAGAACATTCTTCTCAATATATTCCAGATTTTTATGAATTCTTAGGATCACAATCTGCCCTGGAAATGACTTTTTTCAATAATTGTACATATGACTTTGTTTCAGTGCTAAAGTGCTTGTTAAGGGAGAACCAAATGTATCATACATCTGCTCACGTTACTACAGAGCCCCAGAGCTGATATTTGGGGCAACAGACTACACAGCACAAATAGGTGGGTAGTGATGGTAGTTTGGGGGCCAGGATATCACTACCTGGCTGACCTCAAGGGCTGTGTGTTGCCTACAAAGTGGTGTTGATTATGTTGCTAGGTATGTGTATTGTGTGTGTAATTACACAATTCCTTTAGAAAGTGATCATCTGTGAGATGTTATATTTGGAATGACACTGTCTCAGTTATATGCAGATTCTACTTTGAGTCAGAGGGGGAATTAGGTCACACTGAAGGCCTGGGTTCGAATCCCATGGGTACTATGTGTGAAGCCCATTTCTGGTGTCCCCCTTCGCAATATTGCTGGAATATTGCTACTTAAATATATAAGTGGCGTAAAACCTAACTCTCTCGCTCGGAGGGGAATACAAGTATGTTATCTGGACTACCAGTTATCAGACTTCCATTTTAGTCAGTTAGGTCACTGAATTTATGTAATGGTGATGTAAGCGTAGACAAAGTGAGGAAGGCTGATGCCTTTTGTATTCATGGTTATTTTGACGGTGTCTACTGTGTTGTGTGACGGACTACAGTTTTAGTGTTATATAATTCTAGTCAGCTGCCGTTACAGACTTGATCATGTTTCTGTAATGTCACATGTCTGATCAGCAGTTTGTTAAAGACTACAGGATTTGTGCAATATTCCAGCCAGGTATATTTTAGTGTTATTTTTACAGATGTCTGGTCAGCAGGATGTGTTTTGGCAGAGCTACTTCTGGGTCAGCCCATCTTTCCAGGGGACAGCGGCGTTGACCAGCTGGTAGAAATCATCAAGGTCCTTGGTACACCAACACGGGAGCAGATCCGAGAGATGAATCCCAACTATTCCGAGTTTAAGTTCCCACAGATCAAAGCTCATCCCTGGACAAAAGTAAGCATCAACCACCGACAATCAGTGTGAATTTTGGTCATGCTTGCTTCTGGTTTGTTGTGTTGATACCCGTTGAACTAGCCTAGCAACTAATGAATGTTCTTCAGTATGTACTTGCAGTGTTAGAAATCATGTGGCATTCTTGAACTCTTAGGGAATCTGGTTTAGAATAGGTCCCCAGCAACCTGTACAGGACATAAGAAGCGACTATTTGAATCAGATGGTTAGACTCTTTAACTTGGTTCATGGCTGTCATGTTACCAGATGTCGTGGACAAATGGTCACAACATGGCTCACTTGATTGTTTGACCAAGACTTGATTATTTACGGGTGGCCATGTATGGCTGATTATTTACGGGTGGCCATGTATGGCTGGTATATGTCTGTGGACAGATGCTCACAACTTGGCTCACTTGAATGTTTGACCAAGACTTGATTATTTACGGGTGGCCATGTATGGCTGATTATTTACGGGTGGCCATGTATGGCTGATTATTACAGGTGGCCATGTACGGCGGGTGGCCATGTACGGCTGGTATATGTCAGGTGGCCATGTACGGCGGGTGGTCATGTACAGCTGGTATATGTGGGGTGGCCATGTACGGCGGGTGGCCATGTACGGCTGGTATATGTCTGTGGCACTAAGCAAGAAACTCAAATGGATATTTTCATTATCATAGTTTATTTGTGATATTAGGATCATTGCAAGAACCCTGGAATGTCTTCCTCAGTTTCCAATCCTAACATTTCAGTTACATGTTAATAGTGGCGGTGGAGTAGCCTAGTGGTTGAGGCGTTTGCCTGCCACGCAGAAGACACGGGTTCCATTCCTCACAATGACACATTTTGTGAAGCCGTCTTCGAGTGTCCCCTACCGTAATATTGCAGGAATATTTAATAGCTGTTTGAACCGAACTCACTCCATGCATATTAATATAATTGATCTCTAAAACTTAGGTATGACATTACATATTACTATTCAGTCCTATTACAATTTCAAATATGACGTGAAATAGGTGTATGAGAAGTGTCTTCTGGTCCCGCCAAGCCATTTGCTCCATGATTCCGTTTTTTTTATTGAATTGAAATGTAGGAGCTTCAAACGAGGAAAAGGAAATAATCCAGATTGTTCATAATGCCAAAATGTTAAAAATTTGGTCCAAAGTGGTCTTTATGTGAAGTTGCATGATACACACTTTGCTTTGCTATCAGTTGTTTGCTAACTGAGGCATGTATTATTTTAAGGATTTGAAATGCTCTTTCAGCATGTTTTTGTAGCTATTGTTTTCACAGAATAGTAACATGTTATCAGTTTTGTTTGTAATAGTCTAATAAACTCACATTGTTTACAGACTCTCATAACACACTAATTCATTTTTGAATTAATTCTTAAATGAGAGTGAATTAATTTTGTGAGTAATGCATGGTCTTAATATTCAGGTTTACAAAACAACCAAGCAGCAGACAGTCTCTGTATATGCTTAATGACATTGCACGTTGATCCATTTAATCATAATTAAGTCAGTTTATTGTCTTTTAGCCAATACCTGAGAGTCTCTGTAAGCTGGTAGATTACATTGATCAGTAAAAGAGTTGAAGGTAACACTCAAAATATTTAACAAAATTTGGTACTTAATATCCAAGGATTCAGACCAGTGTATTTTCTAGCACATTGACTGACGACTGTTAGAAATTATTAAAATGTAATGGTGGTTGGTATGAGATAGACCCTGCCTCCAGTCTGTTAATCTGACAGAACACTTATACAGACAAATAGTTTTCTCCCAAACCTTTAGATGACTACTAGATTGATATGAACCTCAGACAGGTTTGATATTACTAATGGTGCCTACTTGTAATTAGAGAAGATTTTCAGAAGATTTTAGAAAAACCATGACCATATCCTAATGCTCTTACAAGTATAAGGTGAAATCAGGTTTACCAGGGTGCTGTTGTACAAGACAACCTTAGGGCTAAGACTATTGTAAGTCTCTGTTAAGGTATGGGAATTACGATCACCTTGGCGCTAAGGTTGTTTTAAACAACGGTACCCAGGTAGAAGTCAGGTTTACCAGGGTGCCGTTGTACAAAACAACCTTAGGGCTAAGACTATCGTAAGTCTCTGTTAAGGTATGGGAATTACGATCACCTTGGCGTTAAGGTTGTTTTGAACAATGGCACCCAGGCTGGTAACTATGACTGCTACATGTTATTTATGAATGCCACACACTGCAACAAGGTATCCATGTCGGGATCACATAACAACCAGATGTAAGTAGGGTGTTTTGGTGGTGGGCGTTTGAGCATGGTCTGGCTGTTCTGTGATAATTCGGGAGTTTTCCTTTTCAATTTTCTTGAAGGTTTTTAGACAGCGAACTCCAGCCGAGGCTATTAACCTGGTGAGCAGGCTACTGGAATACACCCCGTCAAGTCGTATCTCTCCACTGGAAGCCTGCGCACATGCCTTCTTCCATGAACTGAGGGACCCAGCAACAAGACTGCCTAACCAAAAACCCTTACCCCCACTTTTCAACTTCACTCAAGAAGGTGAGGAGCATGTACCAGACACGTACTCATTTTAAACTGCAGGCATGGAATCATGCAGGGTTGGGGGCCACTATTGGTTTCCAACAAGCTGTGCCTTTTGTAAGAAGCATCTTGGTTTATTGGGTGTCACCATACCTCGATGTAATGAATCATTGGTTGAGACTCATTATTTACGGGCTGCCATTATATGGCTGGGCATTGTTGAGTGTGGTGGCTCACATCACATGCACGCCTGGATCAGTCTTAAAACCATGATTTTGATTTTTTCTTTCGGTTTAATAAGCTTTGCTAATAGTCCAGAACACACAAATCTACTATAAATGATGACAGGTTGGTTAAGTAGACTTGAGTTTTGTCACTGATAATGATGGTTAGCTCTGCTTTTCGTCGATTTAAGAGACAAGTGGTACAAAGAGTACCTGGTGTTGTGATCATACAGTGTTTTATGATCAGCTATGATTTAGATACCTTAAGGCAAACTTGCTTTTTAATGCTCATACAATAATGATTCTCTTTCAGAACTGAGTATTGCCCCATCTCTTAACGCAACCTTAATACCTCCCCACGTGAGAAATGTTGAAAGCAACTCGTCAGCAGACCAAGTCGGAGACGACAGCAAATCACAAAACCCAGGCGGAGATGCCACATCGTCACAAGGGGCTGCTGCGGCCGCTGGAACCTCGGCATGAGGCAGGCTCCAACTAGGTTACCACCCCAACTATTATTTATATGAATCACATGTTACAATCATGACTTGTTGACTTGTTGCAATACACCCACCATGAATTAAGGGCTGGATGTTGAGTGTCCAGTCGCTTGCTGTGCACTGTTGTTGAGAAAGCTACTGCAGTGGGAGATTGTGTTCTCCAGGTGGGATGTGAGGGGACAGGTGAGAAGAGGACGAGGAGAAGGAAACACCCTTTCTGACTCGACTAGATCATGCTCGGTAGTGTTGGAGCAGAGTTATGTGCTGATGCCATGAACATACAATGATTTTAGGTGAATGGATACCTGTTGCAGTGAAAGGGGAGAGAACTCTGAATATTTTGCAGTGACTGTCAGAGTTGTTCCTCCTCATAGAAACAGACATTTTGAATGGAGGCTGTGACATGCATCTGTATGGTTGATTGCAAGCCATTGTTGCTGAAGGGAATTGGGATTGTTACATGTAGTTGTGAAGAATTGTTGGACTGACTTATTCTATCTGTGTCTGTGCAGTATTGGGCATTGGGACAGCTGTGTCCAGTCCAGCTTCTTCACCTTGTGTTGTCAACAACTGTGGTCATTGTGGTGAGTCACTGGTCAACACTGTGAACCATCGTCTTCATCCTATCACGGACACACACCAACATCTAGTGCAACTCTTGTGTAGCCTGCCCATCTCTTCAGGAGAGCCAACTTCATCATCTGATTGAGGAGGCTGTAATAGTAGGTTGCTTGGAATTCAATGAGATCCAATCAAGCCATATTTTTACCAGTATATTAAACTTGTTGATTATGTTGACTGTTTTTAAGTCTGTACTTGTGAATCAGGAGAGTGTGTTTCCATGTGGTGTGACAGGTGTGTGTGTGGGTGTGTGTGTGGATTGACATGTACAGTGGTGGTGTGCTGCAACATGACATCTTTACGAGACTTAGGATAACGAAGCCCCAATGAACAGTCAGAGCAGCCATATGCACCATGAGACTGATCATAGACACATTGGTTCTTGTAAGTCCAAATACACACAGGTCATTTGACACCACAGTCCATCAACCTTCCTTACATGTGTTAAGGGGTAGTTCTTGTATGTTTTAGGGTAATAATATTTAAGGGTTTGTGGGTTCCCACCATATGTATTGCGCACATGGTCAAATTCCTTGTACTGTTGAGATGGTTATAAAATTGAGTCCAAGTAAGAATTATTTGAATCAACACGACACTTTTTTTCCAAGTCTGTATCCAAAAACTGACAAAAGTTAATCTGGTATGTAACCAGAAATATCCTTTCAAGGATAGGATCACTTTTGGATGGTAGGGGTGGGGTGAAAGTGGGCATGTTTGGTTCAGTCAGCTAAGGCGCCACTATTCACTGAGCAGTTGCCCACCTTAGGCACACCAAAAACATATTGGTTACTTGTGTGGTTATATTCTGGGTTAATCAGCATTATGCCAATGCTCATGGGTTAAAGCAAAGTGGTAAAAGTCTGAGACCTAGCTAGCTATTCTCGAAATGTTTGTAGCCCTACGAACTTCTTAAGCCCATTTTTAACAGGTTGGCTACGATAAAAGTTAAGAATTCTTAGGGCTACGAACGTTTCGAAAATAAGGACCCAGCATCACTTAAGGCTGTCCACCCACGTCTAGCTGACACACCTACATATAAGTGAAATACTGTGGCTGTGAACTTATCTCGCTCACTTTATCAGGTAATCTTTAAGTCAGGTCAAGGTGATATTGACATCTGAAGTAGTATTAGTTGCCAACATTACCCCTGTGTATGTGGTCCTAGTGTAAATTACCTTGGTGCTGAATGACAGGTGGGTGGATGCCAAATTGATGTTCTTGATCAGGGTATTCGGGAAAACTGCAGTTGGCTTGTCTGTTTCTGTCGCTGTGGCGATTGGAAGTATGATTCTATTTTAGCTTGTGTTTTACACATCAACTTTTGAAAGTAACATCTTCGCTGTAAATGACCTGATTTGGACTCCGTACTTACTGCAAACCGTAGCCTGCTGATCATCTGATCTGCTGACATTGAGTCTTCGGGAAGACCTGTCTGTGCAACTGGAGTAGGGAGCACTATGTTAATTGATATGTCAGTCAAATGAAGACGTTGCTTGATGGTCAACACAGCTTGATACAGAAATGATATCCTGTCAAGATGAAATATCTTCCAAATTTTACAATGATATTGTCAGACATAATGTTTTTTCCATGATTATTTTCTACACAATTAACTATTTGATTATGCAATATTTGAACACATCTTTTTGTGTGACTACTTTATTAATTGTAACCTTTCAGGGCTGCTTGTCCATCAAGGTCCAAGTTGCACCAAAACACATGGAATTTCTGTCATCCCTGATCCAAACCTGTCAGTGTAATCATTGTTGATGTTTGACTGTGAACTATTTTCAGTCTTGTTGAGACAATTCTTCCAACAGAGTTGAGTGAAATCAATGCCTGCCCACTAGCCTGTGGCTTGTGAAGTTTAAGTCTGGGACCTTTCAGAAGATTCAGCCAAACACTGGCTATTGAATTTTTTATGGAATTGTTTAGATTAGGAAACATTTCCCATTTCTGTAAATGCTAAAACAAGATGAAAGAAATGAATTGATGTGATAACCCATGCCAAGTATTGTGCAAAAAAAAAATTGTCACAACTTAGTAAAATTTAAACTGGCTGTAACTTTTAAGGCTATTATGCCTACTTAGCCAGCAATGTTTTGAGACCATATCACACACCAAACAATTGATCATAGTATAGAGTTGAGAGTTAGTTGAGCACTTCCTTCACCCATGCAGTCAGTCTGAAGCCATAGTTGGACGCAAAGTAATATCAAACTTAAATAGCATTACATACTCATGCCAGTGTCAAAAATCTTTCAGCTAATGTGAACTTTGGTTAATCAAACACCATTTTTTCTGTAACAGCATATTTCATATTCTTGGAACACTGTTTGCACACTGTTCAAGTATTAATGTCAGAAATTATGTGGGAATTGATGTGACTTGAGAGCAGGATGCTTTGACAGCCAACGACAGACAGTTGGTCATTTGGGTTCAAGCAATCTTTACTGATAAGGATTATGAAACAAGCACTATCGCCAGTATCGATGAAGGCGTCATAACCACTGCCCTGTAGCAAATGGCATGAGACAGTTTTAGGTTTCCACTGCACGAATCCAGGTTTTAGGTTCACTTGTTACTGATTGCAATCACAAATGAATACACTTTTTGTCATTTTAGCTGAGTTTTATCATTTGTTAATTCCCCCTGTTGTTTTGTTATCTTCCCTGTAGACTGTAGTATTATCAACCAACTCTTGATCTACATCCTCATCGTCATCAAGAATATGTTGCACTGATTACACATCGTGAGCTTTTGTACTGTTCAGAACCTGAAAGGTCTTGCATTCCCATTATGTAGTCCAGTGCATAGAACTCTTTTGTACTTAATACTTTTATAAGATATACCATCTGGGCCCAACAGTACAACCTGGTACACCCAAATTACATGATCTCAAGAGTTGATTGAATCTGATTCTGCTTGTTTATCCCCCATGATCACATCTAGTCTGTAACAAGAGGAAAGGTTGTGTCAGTTCTCCATGGCTACTTGCACATGTCTGTCCCATTTGACACCTGGAGTCCCAAGTCGGCCTAGGTTACATCTTAACATATTCCTGAACGTCAGGTAGAAAATGCTCTGCCATTTTTAACCATTGTATGTTTGGAAGTTTTAAATGTATATAGGAATATATATATATATAAACCTACTTGTAATTATATAGTTGTAAATAGCTTGCTGTGTGTAAATGACCACTGGGTCAAAGTTCACTTATGTCAATTGTGTCCTTGCATGCATGACTGTTGTGAGAACATGATGAAGTTCCTTGTGTTGGGTGGGTCATCATTGTTGGGTGGGTCAGGAATTAGTCGTTTCTTTCAGTTGAAACATATCCCCTGCCGGAGCTTATCACTAGCTCTGACAGTCTCCAGTTGGTTTGATACCATGAGGAAATCAACTGCATCAAACAGTCATTGTTTTCCAAATCTGAAGACCATTTGCACTGTATTACAAGGTGAACATGTTTTGTGTATAGATATGTTTCAGACACATGCTGCTTCATGCTATTCTTTCATGTTCATTCTCATTTTGGCGGATCTCGGTTTGTAAACTTCAACTGCTTTGTCAGAGAAGGAAACAAAACAACTGCACTTTGCATAATCATTTGGTCTAAGGAAATGCAGTTTTGTTGCTCCATGGCTGTTCTTCAAGTCTGTCCTGTCAAGAAAGTAACATGTATAGTGTACATTATATAAGATCTTTGCAGAATGCATATGTCATAAAGACTCTAGGTTAAGTCAACATTTTGCAGAAGCACCAAAACATTCGTTAACTGTTGCTCCTGCCGAGTTCATACTTTTGTTACCAGTGGCCCAAATTAAGCAAGAAAGTCCAAGGGTCCTTGTCAGAACCCTAATGTTAAAAGTTACTAAGGTATGTTAAGATTGAATTCGTCCCAACATTCAAATAATATATGAGGACCTCAACAACCCAAGGACGCCCTTAATTTGTGACACTGGTTCCTCCCATCCAGAAAACCCTACCTGGTCCAAGGGGACACGCTACAGGGTTGGAAATTAAGGCGGGTTTTCTAATGCCACAGTTGTTGATGTTTTTGCATATTAGGTCTCCCTTACTTTCTTGAGACATGTGTCAATGGAACTTCAAGATGATGATATTAAGATACTTGTTAACTTCGAACCCTGCAGATAATGTTCAACGCATTGTATCTTTCGCTGCCATGGTAGTCAGTCACCAAGTGGAATGTATGTATGTACAGTATGTGATGTCATGCTGGTCATGTGACCCAAGTCATGTGACCTCCACTTTTTATGACTGCCGCTGATAGTTATTCACTATTTCTGTGATGTCTGTTTCGAAGTCGTTGTGTACATACCAGGACATGAAGCAGAGTGATCATCTGTGGTCCTGGCAACTCTTTAGTTAAACTTTGTTCTAATTTTTCTTCATTCCATCACAAACTTGCTATATATCTTTGAAATGGTACTCCTGTTCAAGATCTTCTTTCTTCTGTAATTGTGTGTGACGACTGACAGAATCAGGCCACGAAGAGACTGGTTCTGGTTCCTTGGTGACTGTTATCTGATGCATGGTGCCTTTCAGTTAGGTAACAGTGGAATTAGTAAACAGTCCTAATGGATATTTGTAAGAAAGTTCATTTGTACACTGTTCGTCTCTCTTGTCTTTGGTTGTCAGCGCAGTCAAAACTTGTAAGCTGTAAATAAAATTTCATTCAGAGATTTATTTCTTGTGTTATTAATTTGTGGGCAGATCAAGGAGGACAGCACAGTGATGGCAGCATTGTCCCTCTGCCACACATATGACATGATGGTACATTTCTTTTGTTTGGAAGCAGACATACCAATATGAAGAAAGAGCAGACTGTCGTAACGGCCTCCGTGGTGTAGTACACCCGGTGAGCGGATGGTCGCGGGTTTGATCCTGGCCGGTCATACCAAAAGACGTTTAAATATGGTACTTGTTGGTACCTGCCTGACGCTGGGCATTAATGGGTACAACAAGGACTGGTCGGCTCAGAGTCAGTATAATGTGTCTGAGTGGGGTATTCATGCTTCACTGCGGCATGGTATCTCAGTGGGCTAGCACTATAAAACCATCTTAAGTCTGGGCTAGTACAAGCAGCCACACATACACACGTCATAAGAGTGAAATATTCTTAAGTACAACGTTAAACCCCATTTCACCTCACCTCACCTGTTCTATTTTTAAACTTTTGGTGTACTTTACACATGTTTTAGCATATACCTGAAATTCTCAACACATCCAATTTACTACTACAAAGAGCGCCCATGACAACACCTGCACCTGTACAGCCAATTTTAGCAAATTGAGATCCTTTTTCATGTTTTAGGATATTTTCTAAATGAGTGCTTTTAGCATGTTTATCTATGAATACAGCGCGCCATTTGGAAAGTGGTCAAATGTAGCATGTTATATTTGGGATTACACTTTCTCAGTTAAGTTCTGACTGATTCTAGTACTTTTGTTGGGTTGAGTCCCATCTGGGATTTCAACCCACACCCTCGAAGTGTGCTGGTGATTCTGAGGTGTTGGTTCGAATCTCGGATTGGACTCAACCCATCAAAGTAGTGGAATCTGTACTTTACTGAGAAAGTAACACAGATTACCAAATCTCGAAAGTTGAAATACCGTTTGAACATTTACCTTAAAAACCATTCGTAACTACTCGTCCCTTTCCGTAACCTGAAACGTTTGTACTCGAACGATTCCGAATGCTATTTTCCGCACGATCGCTTCCAATTTATACACATGGAGGACGCCAAATGTTATTCACCAAAGTGAGTAAACAGTAACTCATGCTGAAAATAGAATAGCGTTTTTGTAAATATTCCAGCATGTCATTTGGCGGAACTATAAGCTGATAGTAAACATGTCATCAGAAGCCCCTAAGCGTATATATACTGCAGGTCAAACATCTGTGTTTTATGCGGATTTTCGTCTGTTGAGAGATCAGTGTCACCACTCGCCCCTTTCCGTAACCTCCAAGAAGACGGCCCACTCGATACTTGTTATGTGCGAAAATACGACAAACCAATCAGAACGCGCGTAAATGAGCGCGGTGCTCATTCGTAACTACTTGTGTCATTCCAGCAAGCCGAATGGCGTCTCGTACACCTCTCGTGGCCGTGTTTACGACTGGGCTCTGTCTAAGCGCAAACGGGCATGGAGATGAAGATAGTCTAGAACTATTACCAAGGAAAGATCACTCTGAATTTTCAAACATGGCACTTAAAATATCCAATATCCCGTGGGCAAAACAGCAATACAGTCATTTCCTTTGAAAATATGTTTCAGTGTTTAAAGTTTCTGATCCTATAGCTCAAAGTTTATGTTTAAATTGTGCTTTGCATAGTTTTAGCGAAGTTTCAAACTTCAACGGTGCCGCCATTTTCATGCTTCTAAATGCGTTTTACTACGCGAGATTTTATTGGTTTGCCACGATTCTGGGCAATAATGGCGTACGATAGGGGTACGAGTCTTAGTTACGAGGCGAGTAGTTACGAATGCGCGGTGCTTTGATAAAAATAATCCCGAGTACTTAAATCGTTTATGGCATTATGTCATTGTTTAAAAAATCATGAAAAACATATATCGTCATATTGAAAGTACAAAGAACGTAGCTAAAGGATTTCTCTGCCTATTATGAAGTTTTTAATGAGAATCATGCGATTGACGGTGAGAGATTCAAATACACGCACGTGCGTTTGTTGACATAACTGCTCTCATGGATCCAACTGAGTGTATTTCTGACGATCTTGCGGGCTTGTTATGCAGATTTATGCACGAGTTGGTCACGAATGGGGAAGAGAAAATCCATTTTGTCATTCGTCACCACTCGCCCCTTTCCGTAACGTCCCGGAATAGCACGAGTTGGTCACCATTTTGTCATTCGTGACCAACTCGTGTTATTCCGGGACAAGCCGAATAGCGACTCCATTCGTCACCGCTCGCCCCTTTCCGTAACCTCCAAGAAGACTCGTCCCCCACTCGATACTTGTTATGTGCGAAAATACGACAAACCAACCAGAACGCGCGTAAATGAGCGCGGTGCTTTGATAAAAATAATCCCGAGTACTTAAATCGTTTATGGCATTATGTCATTGTTTAAAGAATCATGAAAAACATATATCGTCATATTGAAAGTACAAAGAACATAGCTAAAAGGAGTTTGCTGCCTATTATGACGTTTTTAATAAGAATCATGCGATTGACGGTGAGAGATTCAAATACACGCACGTGCGTTTGTTGACATCACTGCTCTCATGGATCCAACTGAGTGTATTTCTGACGATCTTGCGGGCTTGTTATGCAGATTGTACCTGCGCTTCGACCAATTTTAGGAAATGTAATTATGATCGCTATGAGTTTCAAAACAATAATATCGTATTTGTATGTAACTAATCAACCTTAATCTTTAACATTGGGCTTATATTTCATAGCTCTGGGGATCTTTTAGTCTGAGTGTTTTTTGGTCATTCATATTTTTTTCATCGAATTCATTTGAAATTCCACCAGGGGTGTGACAGCAAGGTTACACCGATATTCACGAGTAGCTACATTCGTGACCAACTCGTGTTATTCCGGGACAAGCCGATTGGACGGTCATAGGGCGCTCAAAGGTTAGCTGACGCGACCTTCTACTAGGGTTTGTTGGACTCAGTAAGGCAGTGTTGAGCCTAAGTTTACTGAGACTGATGGAACACACTGAATGGGCTGGAACGAACTTGGTCCGAGGCTGGAGGTCTCTGACCTTAGCCAAAATACTATATTCATGGGCATTAAACAACACCTACTTTTTCGAACATGTAACGTGTGATTTTTTGTTAGAAACAATGCTTACCTGGCACTGTCATCACACAGATGATATGTCTGACACTAACAATTAGTACTGATTTTAGGCATGTATATTCTACAACACTGGATATTGTTTCTATCTTGCTCCAGATAGAAAGATATATTAACCCAGATCTCTATACCCAAAAGAATTCAGGTAGAAACCAACTAACAACAAAGAAAAGGTATACTATTAGCAATTGTAGTTTAAAATTAGACACTTTTAAAATCAATACAAACCACTGCAAAGAGTTGTAATGGCAGTACAAACACAATAACAATACTCTATAATAATAATTATAGCAATACAGACAATACGGTCACCTGACTGCAACTGTAGGCCCCGGCTGAGAACTGGGTAGAACTAGAAAGTGACCATCAAAAATATACTGGTCTTGTAACGTCAGCTGAATGAACCAGGCAGTGTAACGGTTTGGACCTTTCCATAATAACAGTATTTGTATTACAGTGCCTTTCAGAACTCTAAGTGTATATAGCACATGACTGCCCCCCTTGTCAATATATTACATGGGTGTACTTAGTTTCAAAAGTTTAGACTCACTAGTGTAAATATGATTTAAACAGTATTTTATTTCCAATAATGTCTACATTTTTCAGAGTACACAACATAAGAAAATGGAAATAGGATCAGCAAACAGGCCATATGGCCTATGTCAATGCTTCTCCGCATATAATTCATTATTACCGTGACTTAATTGTATGGAGCAGACAATAGAACATTAACGAATGAATCAAAACAAAATAAAAATAAAGAAAAGAAAATAAAGAACAAGATACCAAGTGCATTTTATGTTTATAGGTTGTTACTTGAATTCCGTAAAGCGGTTAGTTTCAGTTATATAATTCTGTACGGATTTTATTAGGTTTTCATTGTCTAGAGGAGATAAGTCGTCATTGCCGTGAAGTATGGTATATATGCTGAGGTGGTTAAGGACAAAGTATTTGTCGGGTCTAAACTGGGCATAGCGGGGACATGACAGAAAAAAATGGATAGCATCTTCTCTGTTATGGCCACATGGACAAGTGGGATCATCAATCAGGAATCTGTCAAATAGGTGTGCTTTTAAATCACTACAACCTAGCCTAATTCTGGATAGGATCACTTGGTATTGTCGCTGGCCATAACTAGCAATGTATATAAAATTTGAAGAAATCTGAATATCTGTGGAAATCAATTGTTTGAACCTAGATAGGGAATCTACATTTCTGATATTGATATCAAGTGCATTCCATGCTTTAACAACAGAAGGCAGGAAAGATCGGTTATACTGGGATAAGCGCCCAGCATTTGTCTTGTGTAAATTGTGTAAATATAGGCACTTACTTCAGGCAAATGTGCTAAACTACATTTTGCCAAATATTCCATACTGTTTAAAGGTGCTCAGTAACTGTTTACACATGAACTAATGTATTGTAAAACAACTTCGTAACGTTGAAACGTTGTCATGAGGTCAATAAATGATAAAAATCAGTAAAAATTGGTGAAGTCTCAACAAAACTTTACACCAGAACGCAGCTGCTCACATGCACGATATTTGCACATGCTTTTCAGCAATTCGATGCATGATCCTTGTGCAATACATCTGCATAAGTAATAGTAGTAGTGAGTGGGTTTAGTTTTACACCGCTTTTAGCAATATTTTAGCAATATCAAGACGGAGGACACCAGAAATGGGCTTCACACATTGTGCCCATATGGGGAATCGAATCGAACCCGAGTCTTCGGCGTGACGAGCGAACGCTTTACCCATTAGCCTACCCCACCACCTATAGTAGTAGTAGTAGTGGTGGTGGTTGTGGTGGTGGTGGTGGTGCAAGTCAAAACATTGATTACACAACAGTC